TTTTCAAGGGGGGGGGGGTGGAAGGTAAACTCTTTCCCAGCTTTTATCAGTTTTTCTCCCTTTATTATGCCCCCTATACTATATATAAAAATAAAAATAATAAAAAAAAATAAAAAAAAATAAAAATATCATCGTCACTACTAATACTACTCCTAACTACCCTCCCGAGTAATAATACTATTAATATTAATAATAATAATCCCATTAACCCCCTAAAACCTTGGAAACCATTAAAAGCTTTCTTCTTTGCTGAAAAATATAAAGGGAACTTTTCCCGGTAAAAAAATATGCAAACCGGGGGGAAACATGGGATCCAAATTGATCCAAATTTGGGAACCCCCCCCCCCCAACCTCTATACATAATCCAAGAACGAAGGCCGCCCCCCCCCCCCCCCCACAAACTGACAATCAACAAACCCTAACACAAAAAATCCCCCTCCCCCAACCAGCCAGCCCCAATAGCAACAGCCACCAGATCCCCAGCAGAACACAGCTCCTCAATCCCGCACTGCACACTCAACATCTCCGCCGTCGTCTGTAGACGCATTCCCAACTCCTCTTCCAGCTTCCGCCATGCAATATCCAGATCCACATCCACGCCCGACCCAGCCTTTTTCCCCCTGTTGCCATTTTCGTCATCCCTTGTGACATGGGGCTGCTGCGTTTTCTTCTCATTCTTCAACGTCTTGCATGGAGAGTTTCCGTGGTTGATGAGGATGTTGTTGTCCAATTTGCGGTTTGCGGGCCGTTGTGTGAGTGGCCGCCGCCGTTGCTGCTGTGGCTGTTGCTGTGGCTGTTGCTGTTGCCGTTGTCCTGGCGCCGGCCGCGGGAAAGGGCATGGAGATGGTTTCGTTTTCTTCATGAGCATTTGCAGAAGAAATGAGAGCCATATAAGGTTCGTCCTGGGGTTGTAGTTTTTCCATTGTCCGGGTTTAGTGGCGGGTTGCGTCGGGCTGAGAAGGTCGTCTTGGTGGTATACTTGGGACCGCATACTGTGATGTTACAGAAGGCAGTGTTAGGAGACACAATGCGTGGTTTAACGACTAGTTACATATATATATATATATATATATATATTGGGAGGTAAACGGGAACATACTATCGATAAGTATCTCGAAGGGGTTTCTCATCTTCATCCCGCCCAACAGCGCCGAAGATCTGCCTCTGATCCAGATCCGACCAGGCAATCTCCACCACTGGATGTTTCTTCTGCGACTCGTTCTCATTCAGATCTCCCTCTGGCTGCAACTCCGCTCTCGAAAGCGAATAGTCAATAATCGTAGTTTCAAGCCCGCTCAATCCAAACCCAGTCAGATCTCCCTGCAACGCCGCATTGATTGATTTAGGCAATCCCACCGTCGAAATCCTGTTTTTCGTAGGTTTGATACATATATTGCCAAGGTGCAGATCCCGGTGCTGTGAAAGCTGTCAGCGACAAACACACATAATATAAGGGAAAAAAAAATATCGTCCACCATGTAAAAAAGAAAAGTAATAATAATAAAGAATAATAATAAATTGTACCTCAAAAGCCGCAAACTGCTCCGCCCTCGCCAACGCCAACGCAACCCCCCAAAAGATATCATATGCCTCACAAGCAGAACCCCACTCAAACCTCTCCAACTCAACGCCCGCGTTATCCATCTCCAAAACCGCCCACAGCTGCGTATCCGGGTACGACTTAGCCTTACTCGGATCGGGGTTCAGACAATTCTCCCCCTTATTCGTCTGGCTATACCTCATCCACGCCTGCTGATACGCCTCCGGAAACCGCCCCTGCACAACATGCACCTCCCTAAACCTGGCAAATCCCGGGATCGGATCCAGGAGCTTAAGCAGCTGCACCTCCGCCACTATCTCGGAGACTGAGGTGAATTTCTTCGAGCCGACACCCCGCTGCGCGCGGACGGGAATGATTTTAAACACGCCATCGCGATAATAGGCCTTCAGACGTGCCATTCGGGACTTGGATAGGTTGTTGTTGTTATTTCTCTCGGATGGGATATCAGCGTTTCTGAAGCGCATTTGGTAGACTTCGCCGTATGAGCCCTCTGCGATCTTTTCAACGGTGAACATGTCACCCGCGCGCCGGGACCAGCTTGCGAATCGCTGGATGCCACGTGAGGAGATTGGGGAGGTGGCTTCGTTGAGGATGGGGCGGACGTAGTCTGTTAGCTTTATGTCTTCGATACGGCCGGAGGATCGGCGGGGTTTTCGTTTGGGGTTGGCTTTTGGGTTGGTTTGTTCTTGTTCTTGTGTTTGGGCTTCTAGTGTCCGCAGCTTGATGATGGGCTGTTGCTGTTCCCTTTCCTCCTCGGTATCTGCTTGTAGTTTGATTGAAGTGTTGACTTCCTCTTCTCTTTGTTCATTTAGACGTCTTGTCGTTCCATTACCAGCGCCCACCTGAAGTGCAGAGACAGCCGTAATCATATTATCAATCGCGGACTCTATGCGCTCCTGTTTTCTTCCAGCAGCAGAAGCCCTTTTCAGAACATGATTGTTAATATCCCGTTCGAGAACTGCACGCGCAGCAATTGTCTGCCCCTTGCCATACACTTTTCTCGTAGAGGGAGTAGCAGCAACAGCAGTTATAGACCTGGTGCATGTGCTGCTCATACTGCTGTTCATACTTCGTGGAGGCTTCTTAGGGGATGCTGAGGGGGAGAGGAGAGATATGTCACAGCGCATGACAGCGCATGATCAAAGGAAGATTTTTATCAAAACGTGCAGATTGAAAATAATTATTGCGCAGGAAATAGATGATATATGCATGTATGCAACTGTCAGCGGATGCAGAGATGTCGAGTATAAGTTTGCGTATTACCATAAATGGTTTAGGGTATGCGTTGCTGAGACAACGATTGGGTCATGTGACCCTCCACAGTAGTCTGCGTGGGACGGTTGGTCTTCCATTGGTGGGACCAGCTAACTGATAACACGCGAACATCACGTGAGGTGTGCGGCGACCGGCCGGTCATACCCAACAATGTAAGATGGTATTTTTAGCAATGCCTGGTCAATCCTTCTGGCTAGGTCCCTAGGAAAAAGGAAGCTGAGATATATCAGGCGCCCTCATCTATGGTTGAGGTTGAGATTGAAACTACCACGTTAACAGCCCCATCGTAGCAAGTTCCTCCAGGTTCTTCTGATGCGTCTTCCTTCCGTGGCACTGACGGATGTGTTTTGTGTGTTTAACCCGGAAGTAGTTCTGAGCCTAACTTGTAGGCATTATTAAAATGATCTACTCCGCAAAGACATGTTCCTTTCCGAGTAAGTGTAACGGGCAACCCTCTCTGCTTGAGGGGGATTCTAACCAACTGCATTTGGGATTGCTGAGTTTGGGGAGAAGGATGCGAAGGATTGGCTGATTGACTGATTGGAACTTGGAAGGTTTCTTCTGTGTTTCTGTGTTTCTGTGTCTTCTGCTGACCCATGCCTGGTTACAGATAAAAACGAAGTTGGATGTGGACTTGGATATTGTGTCATGAGCATGCAAGAGAGCTGCATAATGTGCCACAGATGAAGGTACTGATTGCCAGTTACCATCTTCGAGAGCATGCATCGTTGAGTTCAAGGTGGATGATATCCTCCAGCCATGCCGTTGGATATCTGTTTCGATGGGTTTCTCCCCCCCTTCTACTATCCTATATCAGAGTCGGTTTATGTTTCGCAAATGGCTAGGTATTAGTCTTGTTTCTCACAAGGTGTCAGCCAGACCATAGAAGTTATTTTTATAGGAACACGCACGCAGTTGAAAAAGGGGCTGATTCGCTCTCAATATATAATGTGTAATTTTGCTACTTTTTTTGTTTCAATTAAATTATATAAAGTTCTAAAAATTTAAAAGAACTAAAATTTATAAATTTTAAAAATGATAGATAAATAAGAATTTTTATTATATTATTGTTTTAATAATAATAAAAAATAATAGCATTTAAATGTCCGAGTCTCATTATAAACTTAGTCTCATCAAAGTTGTTGATATCTTCATATTGAATCTTATCCAATGTAGGTTATCATTTAGGATATCAAATTATTTTGTAGATATTCTTAATATTCTTACACTTAACTTGTTTATAATTGTTATATTTAGCATACCAACTTTTGAAGCTTTATACAATGTCTTACTAGATTTGAAACAACTCTTGTTAACTCAAAGAGCAGAGAAAATAAAAATCTTATACAGGAAGAAGTTAATGCATCATTTTCTTTTAAGAAACAGCAGGTCTAAAGGGCAATTCTCATTTGACCAAACTCAGCACTTATTTAAACAAGAGTTTCCTCTTCAACTTGAGTCAACCAGTGTGAATTTGTGCTCATATGTGAGGAATGATCAATATGAAGAGGGAAGCATGAAATATCATACAGCCTGCCTTGCTGCTTCATGAACAGTGGCAATTTCTTTATTGTTCAAAGCAGTATGTATACATTTTCGGTCATCCTTCTCTCCTTCTAGAGTTTCTTTTATTTGTATTTGTGAATTTGTTGGCATCCTGACGCGTCAAAGCAGGGAAGTTGGTAAATTTGTTCCGCGTTTCAAGTTGTGGCCGACTCGGTTTGATGGCCGGCTCGGCTGTGAATTGCGTTGGTTAACTAACTAGTTAGTTAAGTGCTTACTTAGTTGGTTGGTTGGTAACTAACTCAGATCACCGGATTCCGTCACCCGCAAACAGCCCGCATGCGACTCGGAACCTAAACCTGATTTTTCTCCCCTTCCTCAAATTTCACTCTCCATCTTCAGACACGTAAATCCCATCCATAGCACTCCACCATCAAACCCTCTCATCCCCTCACACTCTCATCCTCTCATCTCTCATATTTTAATACCTCTTCTCGCCCATATCCCCCATGTCGGTTGTACCGTCATGGCCTTCAACTTCAACTGGTCGCCGCTTATGGCAGACGCAGGCTTCTACACCAGAGCCCAAGATCTGCTCACTGCGGCCCTGAACAAGTCTCCTAAACCACCCATCATCGTCGACGATATCGTCGTCACTGAATTGAATCTGGGCTCTAACCCGCCCGAGCTGGAGATTCTGGAAATCGGAGATCTGGCCGAGGATCGATTTCGTGGGATTTTCAAAATGTCGTATGCTGGGGACGCGGTTCTCACACTCAAGACTTGTGTGCAGGCGAATCCCTTGAATACGTATCTTCTCACGAGGCATCCGTTTACGTCTCCTCAGCCTCTTGCTGCTGCGTGAGTCTTATGTTTTAATCTTTTTGTTCTGTGGTTGTTGGAAACTAGATTGCAAATTTGCCTAACGATAATTTGGTTGAAAAAGAACCGGCTTGACCATCCCTCTCCAAATCACCCTCTCTGATATAAAGCTTTCCGGCTTCGTTATCCTCGTCTTCTCAAAACAAAAAGGCATCACCGTTGTCTTTCGAAATGATCCCCTTGAATCCCTGAAGGTCTCATCAACCTTCGACTCCATCCCTTTTGTCCGCGACTATCTCCAGAAAGAAATCGAAGGCCAGCTACGAATCCTTTTCATGGACGAGCTTCCCGCAATTATACATAGGCTCTCCTTGCGCCTGTGGAGCACGGAATACAGTGAACTTGAAACCACCTGTGATCAAGTCACAAACCCATCCCTCGAAGGACCAGGCCAGGACCCGCTCCTAAACCCTCCCCAGGACCCCGTCGACTCCTTCGGAAACGTTCTCTCCATCTCCGAAATAGCCTCACTGTCTCTTGACTCTGGCGTCGAGATGCACTCCCTCTTCTCTCGAAAGAACGCCCTCCGTATAGCCGCCTTGACGGATTCCCAACGTACGCTTTCCCTCTTCACCCCATCCATTCGCGAAGTCGTTTTTCGGGCATGGACCGGTTCAATAGAGCAGGCAGATGGGCCAAGCGGACTCGTCTCTCCCATGAGCCCACCCTTATCCAGAACGCAATCACACATAACGGTCGCAAGCGCACCGCTCTCCTCGCAAGACACTGCAAGCGTGGCATCCTCCCAAAGCCGCCCCGGCCTCCCTTCATCGGGCTATAGCGGCTACGGCCTCAGTCTAGGTGCAGCGCGCCATTCCAAAGCGCACGCCCGCAAACGCAAGAAGCGAGTTATTGACCTGCGCCCACACCGTAAACCCACAGATGACATGGCGAGCATCAGTGGTGAAAGCTCATGTACAGACTCGACGATCACGACGACAACCAAGAGCGCCGCATCTGTATACTCCAGCTCTATCATCCCGGAAGAGAATAACGATGATGATCCTGTCACACCGCCTGTGTCGCCGGTGCGCAACTCGACCGTTCGCCGTCGACAAACGCTCCGTGACCGCATCGTCGACCGTGATGATGCCGAAAGAACAAACATTCGAAGACCACCCATCCCCGCGGAATTTGGCCATGAATTTCCCCTCCGCCCCACGCAACCTCTACCGTCAAACGAAATAGATAGAAACGTGACATCGCCAAACCCCAAACCCGAAGATTCGCATCACTTCCAACCACCACGACAAGACACAGCACCCATCCGAAATATCCCCTCAGCTCCTTTGGGTCCGCCCGCTCCAGCTCCAATCCCTGCATCTGCATCTGCCTACCCGCCCGAAAAACCTACATATACACAGTCCTTTCCCCCCTCATTCATGGAAGTAGCACATAACGGTTCCATCCTCGAGCAGGCATGGATGATGAAAATGGCCAGCGAAATCGCGCGAAGGATCCAGGATGAAAACTCCTCGGCGATGGGTAGTTATGTAGGTAGTGGCAGCGGTAGCGGTGGGTTTTGGGACCGATCGCATACGCCGCCGCCAGCTTACCGGCATTGATCTTTTTTTTTTTTTTTTTTTTTTTTTTTGTTCTGTTTTATCATTATTATTATTATTAATTTTTTTTTCCAAACAATTTACTACAGAACGTACGGGACGAGGACTGTCTATGGGGCCCTTGACGATTGATACGACGTGTATATAAATCTTTTTCTTTTTCTATTTCTTTTTGGTGTCTCAAGCCCCATTTTTCACCCTTTAATGTAATTTACGATCTCTTTTCGCGTTTTATACCAATGAGGAGTTTGGGACACTTCTGAATACCGTCCTTTCTCTCTCTCTCTCTCTCTCTTTCTTTCCCTTCTTCTTTTTTCCTTTTTTTTTACTTTATTTTTTCCCGGAAAGGTGTTTTATTAATAGCACGGGCAGAAACCAGCAGGACCGGGTGGGTTGTGGAATAGAGTGGGATAGGTAGGATTGGATAAAAAACGAGGACAAAGGGTCAAGGGCCAGCCGGCTGCTGGTAGAAATTGGTTTTATAATCTAACGGCACTCTCAACTCCTTTCATGTATCTAGATGTATCTATATTTATTAACTATCGTTGTATGCAATCGCTTCATAATTTGCGCATAGCTTCCTTTCCTGATCCTCTGATTGATCATAATTCAGGTACTTGCCCTTGTTCAAAAATTAATTTGCATGTTGCATCAATCATACCGAGCTCATACGGCAACAATTTTCGATTCCATTCTAGAAGCGTGAAGTGAAATGGGCGTAAATCTGACGGGCAACCACCCATTGGCTAAGCACTAACTTGGGCCTTGAGCAGCTTCCACCAACTCCTGGAAATCCCCCAAAAGAACCGGACTCTCACCACCAACAACCTCCCCACTCGGCCACGGCACGGAATTCTGAGGTTGCAAGGAGAACCACACTTCACAATGTCTGGTCTTCTTCAGAACCTGTTCAAGGGAAAAGCGCAGCCTCCTCCAGCCGGCGGGGATGATGTAGGTACGTTTGCTGACCTAGCCCCCTTCACAACACAAACCCTACCACATAAACACCTCCCCGCCAAACACAATTGCAACCCAATTTGCACTCGCAACTCTAACCCTCTCTCCCCCTCCCAAATCCCCAGACTTCGCCGACTTCGCTTCAAACATCCCCGAACCACCCCCTGCAGCAGCCCACGGCCCACCCACGACCACCGCCACCACCTTCGCCGCTACCAGCACCCTCCAACCACCAATTGCCGCCCGCCCCGTATTATACACAGCATGGTACCGCGTCTGGGAACGCGTCGAGCCCAGCGACTTCATCCAGGAGGCCTTCGTGATCCCCTTCATCATCCTCCTCCTGTGCGTGCACGTATGGGGCATGGGTAAGAACAGGCGCAAGGCCAAGCAGTGGGCGCAGGCGCATCTGCCCACGCTCGAGAGCGAATTTGCTGTCGTGGGGTATGATGGGCGTCCACGGGCACGGAAGCCGCCGTCCGCTGACGCTGACGATGATACTGCTGCTGGTGGTGTTGACAGCGTGAACGTGCCGGAGTCGATGTTGAAGGAGAAGACTGGGACGGAGTTCACGATGTATGCGACTGGGCGGCAGAATGTGGCATTCCTGGATGTCTCGATTAGGTTGCTCAAATGGTATAATCCGCTCTACATGCTTGGTGATCAGGTTGTTAGTTTGTTTTTTGACTCATGGGCGGCGCCTGTGGAGCGGGTGGAGTGTGTTGCGTATGCGTTTGATGGGAAGGAGAAGGATCTTGTTCCTGCGCCGTCTGCTGTGGAGAGCGAGATGATTGAGCAGCGGTCTAAGGGGGGAAGTAATAGTTCGGCCTATGACGGGTTTGTGTTTGGGATTGTGCATAAGAATTGCATGCGCAGGCTACGTGAGGATCGGTATGACATCTCCCTAACGTTTACGAGGGATATTTCGAAGTTGCCGGATTGGGCGACTGTTATGAGCGAGAGTGCGGAGATTACGGAGATGATGCTTACGGCTGAGCTTGTCGAGGCTGTTGCGAGGGCTGGAGATGATTTTGAGTATTTGATCATTACGGATCAGCCGCTGGATAAGCCTACGAAGTAAGTATTTACACCACCACCACCACTACTACAACAACAACAACAACAACAACAACAACAACAACAAATACATGTAAAATCCCATTGTAGACGCTGACACATAACAAAGAATCGACGAAACCACCCCTCGCAAACGCGTCAACCTCTCACTCCGCCTCCCCAAATCCTCCAACTACACCCACACCCTCCCCCTCTTCACCCAATTCCTCCGCCTGACTGACCGCCTCGTCTCCGTCGCCCACTTCCGCGCCGAGGTCAGTCGCAAGCTGCGCAATACGCGCGAGGAAGAGATTCGTAAGCTCCGCCGTGCTTATGAGGAGGAGAAGGCTGAGGAACGCAAGTTGTTGGCGGAGAAGACGAAGAAAGAGGAACGTGATAGGCTGTTGAGGGGTATGTCTGCCGAGGAGCAGCGGAAGTATTTGGAGAAGGGAGAGAGAGAGGGAGGTGAAGAGGGGGTTGAAGAGGACTACGAGGAAGGGGTAGGTGTTGTGAAGGGGTTGTTTTTTGTTTGATGCTACGGGCGACGAAGTGGAGGGCAAGGGGTTTTTGATGGTGGCTTGTTTTGGGCGATGCGAAAAGGGGGGGAAGTGTTCCCTTTCCACTAACCCCTATTGTTTTTATTTTTTATTTTTATTTTTTATTTTTATTTTATTATTTTTTTTTTTTCGATGTTTACTACAACTTCATTTTGGTGGCTTCATTTGACATCTCGTATGTAGACTTTGAGCGGAGTTTCCAATCGTCCAATACTGGCTCAAAATGGAAAAAAGGAAATCGGTGGAACATGTAACCGAGGTCTGACATGTTTTGCTTTTGATCAATGTATTTTACATCTTTTGCTTGAGTATTTGATATCCGGCAGCTACTTACTGTCGAAAGCAGATAACCACGCAGATACATAAGCTTGCAGATCTACCGTATCAAATATTTCATCATAGAGCCTCATCGTTAGGATACAAGTCGGATAACAGGGGTCCTGAATAATAACCAGATTACAGAGCTTCAGAAAAGCAAGAAGAAAACGAAGCAGGGGAGTTGTCAGGGTTTTTTTTTTTTTTTTTTTTTTTTTTTTTCTAAATACAATGCTTCTCATATTCTATATATACAGTATGCATCACAACAAAAAAACATAACCCTTCTCCATCATTGCCCACCGCAATTCCAGCAGTGTAACCGTTTAATATAGTTGGTTGACAAACATCAATGCCATTTGAGTGTAAGGTTCAGCGAGGTTTGATCATTGCCCCTTTGCCAATGGCAGATTTAGATCCAGGTTTTGTAGCCCTGTATTCAACATTGGTTAGAACGATGTAATTCCCTGTTTGCCATATCTTAATTAAGAGGGGGCAGGAACTGGTCCGAAAGGAAAGAAAGAGTAATAGAACTCACAAGGACTGTTCGGGACATGGCATAGAAAGATGCTGTTTCAGGGAGCAATTGGCCCTCGTTAGCTGCTGAAAGCTCCTTTGGCCGGTACATATATCAGGATGGAAGAAACATACCGAAGAAGGAGCCAAAGAGGGAAATGTAGTATGGATACAGGAGGTATGGGCTGCGATGGGTCTGTATTGTGTTATACCAATGTTAGATTGCCAAATCATTTGCATCTACCTTTCGATTTTGTTCCTCCTGGCGTCCCGGTTCGGAGTAGGACGCCATCTCGACCTTAAAGAGGGCCGGGCATGGGGGATCGTACCTTTTCCCAGATGCGCTTGCCGTCATGTCTCTGGAAGAGACGCTGGTAATAGGGAACACGGTTTTCGCGGAAGACGAATCTAAATAGGGACATTGGATACATTAGCATTTATATATATATATATATATATATATTGGAGACATGGAGATTGATGAATCGATGTCGATGTTGCGCTAAGCTGGGTTTGGGGAGGCTCGGAGCAACTTGGAAGGGGCGTATGTGAGGGAGGCTTACCCGGCCATCCTGGGGAGGGTTCTGGACACCATGGCTGCGAAGTTGTAGAGATTGAACTGGGGAACTGAGGTAGGGTCAATGGTAGACGTGGTGATGGTTGATGCTTGACGTGTGAACAACGTTTATCGTTCCCTGCCGAAGTGAGGTGATGTTGGTGGTTTGGTTTGAGGATGAGGTCAGCAGATCACGTGAATATACCTACTTCAGGGCTAATCCGCTTTTGATATGTTACTTAGTTATTGTTGGAGCCTAGGCTTCCTATTATGGACTAGCGCACCGCACAATAGTATATAGCATCCCTGAGATAGGCTACCAATACAACCACTTCAGACATCCAACAGTTAGGCACTGCTTCTTATGTAATGTTAGACATCCTGGCAAAAAGGCCCAATTGCTAGTATTTCTCGTGGATATAGGGGGCATCTGGGAAATCCTAACATGTTATTAACAGGCGGCCTTGAACAGTTGTCACGCCCCGGGTGCTGCACGTGATCTAACCAGCCTTCTCTTTCGTTTTCGCGCTAGTCTTATTTGGGACACCCTAGCCTTATTTAGGACTAGCACGTACATCCCACGCGGCGATATATCGCCGCGTTCTGTTCTCCGTTTTCTCCGTAAGAAGTTCGCAATATCTGCTTATAATAATAATATATAATCAATTCGCTCTTACCCACTCACATTTCCTTTTTGTTTGGAGTCTCCCTGAGGGGTTTGTATGTCATATTCGTGAATGGGATATAGAGCAGATAGAAAACCGTCCTTGGGCTCCCCGTTATTCCCCGACTGAATCAGCCAGCCTTCGGTGCCCGTTCTCCCTCGCAAGCCTAGATGCAACTGGCCACCCAGAAGCTGCTGGGTTCACACTCTACGTTATCCCTTCTCAGTACTCTCATTGTGACTCCAGCTGGACTCGATAAACTGCAATTGGACGAAAAATGCCTACGGTGCGCAGTGCGCGATGCGAGGTGTCAGGAGAGTAAAGCTTCTTCAGCGAAATTTTCAGCGGAAATCGATTTTGCGACCCGTTGCAGACCGGTACGAAGAGCTCAATTTGCGAAACCACTTAGCAGTCGACCTACAGCTCCTCAGAGAAGACAACATGGATCCTCCCTTAATTTCCAGCGCCATATTAATACAAAACCGGTATTACAAGACTACACGAGCCCGCACCATGGAAAGAGAACAGATCCATCTTCCTGTCGGCTCTCGAATTATTTGAACGAATGCGCAGCCTTTCGGTCCGCGGACTGGGCTTTGGACCCCGAAAAGCTCAAATTTGAATCGGATGTTGGTCATTCTAGAGATATTGGGAGCAAGTTGATTGACGACCCTCACTTCGCAAATGATTTTGAGCTGTGGAAGCTGCTGCTTCTTTATCGCAAACGGCATGACGGCGATGATGGCGTAATTGATATTTGGAGAGGGCTGAGGGAGAGAGGGGAGCCAGTGGATCTACCGGTGGAAGGCGATTATGCTTCGTTTCTTTGGAAAAACTTTATCACTGTTGGGTGGAAACGAGATGATTTTTTAAGCGAAATACATTCTTACGCCACTGAGCTTTATGAACGATCGGGGAAGGTGTGGGACAGGGAAAAATATTACAAATCTGTTGTTGTTGGATTATTCAAAAAAGGCCTATTTGCGAAGGGAATGGAGTGGCACAAAAGGTTAAAAGACACACATCTGTCAAACCCAAATGCTATATTACTACAGCTATTTGAGTCCGCCGCCTCGATTGACGGCGGTTTAAGAGCGTTTAGGAAAATATGCAGGACCTTCGATAATCATCACGTCTATTCTGCTGCCATGCCACAACTTTCAGGGGCTGGAAGGATGCCTGATGCTTTGGCGATGCATGATTTCTTCTTACAACGGAACGATCTGCCCCGAACCGTACAGGACGTTAAGCCTTTAATTCAATATCTGCAGTGCTATGGGACGAAGGCAGAAAACCAGTTGTTTTTAGCAAATTTAACATTGAAAGGACTCCTCCATGATGGGAAATTCTTGGAACTATTTGAGCGACAGCCACATGGTGCAACAGGTGACGACACCGCTTCAAGGGTCGACGAAGAAGAGAACTATGTCAGTGATAACTTCGGTGCCCGTTTTTTTGCCACGAAGACTTTCACGTTTGAACTTTTCGTTGCTGGTGTCAAAGCATTTGGAGCTACCTCGATCGGACAACAGACTCTAAGGCAGATGGCCTTGAAGGCGGGGAATGCCAAAAAGTTATCTGAGCAGCTCGATATTTTGAAAAGGGAAGGTATTTCGATAGGTGACACTGCATTTTCGAGGGTTGTCCGGAAATTAGCCTCGCACGGAGACGACTTTGTATTGAATGAGCTTTTGCAGAGTGATCTGCACCCGGAAGTCTTCGAGGACCTTAAGACTCAAGAGGACCTCTTTGCTGCCTATTCTATTGCAGATGACCAGCGGCGGGCACGTATGGTGTTCAAAATTCTTACCATCCTATCTACCGAAGATATTTATGACCATAACATCCTTCTCCGAAATGCGGTAAAGGTTAAGGACTGGCAAAGAATACCTCTTATCCTTGATAAAATGAGGGAGCATAGCATACCCCCTTCACAACAGAGCTTAGATCTGATGATTAAGAAGATACTACCCGTCCGGAGGCCAGGGAGGCAAGAAGCTAGAGCTCCGGAGAATCTCCGTGCAATCACGTATATGACTGGCATCTTGCAAAACTTGGTAAGCGTTGGAGTTGATGTTTCAGCTCACCAGTGGAATGAAATCTTGAAACGAATTGGGATGAGGGCCGACTGGAATGATCTTCGAAAACTGTGCCTTTGGTTGACACATTTCTATTCACCAATCAATCCCAAACAGGCAGAGTCACCTCTAACTGACCCTAATTTCCCTGAACGCTCAATCCCCAAATTCGACCAGAAAAAGCTGCTCCTGCCCGCTCATCCCGACTCTCCCCTCCGCCAGATCTTTTCCGTGCACCTACAGACCGCAATAGTCGCGTGGGGGTTTTCTCTCTCACCTAATTCCAAAGAAATATATTATAATACTTTCAGCAAAGAACGCGAAAAAATCATCCCCTGGGTACGAGGACACGTCCTCCTGCGGGAACTGAAGGAACTGGGTGTTATCGTGCAAATCAACACCGTCCGCATTGCAACCCGACATCGACTCGCTGTATTATTTGGTGACTACCGGTTATCCAACCGTCCCAGAAATCGTATGTTGCGGGCTGTGAACCCATGGACACTCGAGGAAATTTTGCGCGATATAGATAGGGTTTGGGGGTTTTCGGTGTTTGGGAAAATGGTGGAGGATCCTCACAGGCTTGTGAACCCTCCACGGCGGTCACGGAACAGGAGTGAGCGGGATGATGAGCAAGATCAAGCGTGGAAGTACGGACGCGTCTCGCAGCAAATGAAGTATAGAGAGGAGAAACGAAAGGTAGAGAAACAACTGTATGATCGCGTCCATAATGATATCGATTAGGGTATCATATATGTTGTTGAGATATTATTTCTCATCTTTTATGATTCGATCCTCATCGCGTCCAGCTGGCTTGGAAGGAAGTAAATGCACAGTTTCAGATAGCAAGGAGCACACCAAACAAACTGACAACCTTTGGAAGTCGGTAGGTGTCTTCTCCATGCCTACCTTGTCTATCTCAAAATATCTTGAAGCGTACTTAACGTATATTTTAGCTGCCCATCCGCTCCGCTTCCTTGCTTGTGACCTGTAACTACTCGGTGAAGCGAGAGTTTTGCGGCTGCGTCAACCTTAAATAAGCTTAACCCAAGTTGTGCAACCTCAGCAGAGACTCTCAACCTCCCAGTCGTGTGGTTAACCTCTCAAAACCACACTACCTTCGATGCTCGGAAAAAGGCAACTTTGCTAGAAGGAATGTAGCTATGATTTCCTATCACGACTACTTCGAATTGAGGTGACGTTTTGAGTGCCAATGGTTCCAATCGCAAATCCCAATCCGCACAGCAAATTAACGTTCGCAACCAGTCGAGACTCTAAGACGCAAATAAAGTGGTTCCCACGCCGGCATTTATTGAGATTTTATGCCAACTGTGTGGGTGGTATTCCACCCGAGCCCAGTATTTTCTGCCAAGTTGCGGATACGATTGATTGACGCTATGCACGTGCCCTCAGGTCCCGACGGTGCCTTTTCAGCAGTCTAAGTCATCAGCGGAGTCTCCGTCTGAAAACCCTGATACTGGGAGGGCGGCCGAATGACAGTACTTCAACCCGCCTCTCCCAGGAATCACCGACCCAGGCAGTATTCCAGCATCGGTAATGGAAGGAAATGTTTTGACTTCATGCTAGGTGACTCTACAAACACGGCTACTCCCTTATAGCGTTTTGGCAACTAGCATTCATGGAGCCCCCTTTTTCGTATTATTTCTCCCGGCGCAAAAACGATGCAGGTCGGCAATTAATATATATTTAACTAACCAACAGCTACTCCCATTTGTTTCGAAAAATCAATCCGAAAGAATTTGGACAAATGTTCTGTTTCTCTATATCGTGTAGGCGTCCGCAATTTTCACATTGCTCTTCAATGCCAAAACTATGTCGATGATTCCTGAATGCCACCCTCCACTCCATCCCACTTGAGCCCTTTGGCTGGCTCCGAATCCCTCAGGAGTACTATGGAGAAGGCTCGCACAACCCCCCTGATGATCTATCAAGCCACAAGGACTCACTGGACGGGGCTCCTATCGGTTCCGACCATGGTGTATCGTCACTAACAAAGAAAACGCTTCATTGTCGCGGAAGCACTCTCTTTATTGTGGCTTTCTATGCCCTAGTCGCCCTCTATTCCTGGGTAGTCTTGGCCATATTAGGACGTCAACCAGTCAGTGCTAGATGGCGAATGCAACTAACCAAGAGGTTGTATATAAATCTGTAAAGTTCCTCGGTGAAGTTTCCGGAGTTTTAGCTTTGCCCGTTGCGACGGCAGTATGCGCACGAGCAGTCGTTGCCTATGTCCAGAAAAGGCGAAATGGCTTAACCCTACGGCAGACCATGCTCATTGCAGACCGTCCGTGGAGAAACCCTGGAAGTTGGTCACGAGCAACAATAGCGAAAAAACATACACTATTTTTCTGGTTGGTGGTCTTGCTTCATGTAGTCGGTTAGTGCTTCTAAATCATGCAACCTAGGTCTTGCGCAACAGCATATATATCTTCCACTGGCTTTGTTATCTTTCCGCTGCAGCAGTTCCTCGTTGGCGAGGAAATTGCTAAATTCCGCGAAGCGCGGATAGATAAAAGGATGGTCGTGTTAACCGACTTTTTCCCACTTCTTCAACTCACGGCCCCATGTTCAGGGGGGCGATATTCTGGTGCAGCGATCGCGGTATGCTATCACATCTGGTGAATCTAGGCGACCCCCACCCTAATATCTGGGTCGACACTTCGGGCTGCGAACAGTTCGGGTCTTCTGATTTACCCCGTCGCTGCACGGAGGCTGTCGGGCGGAGTCGTTTTATGGGTACTGGCCACTCTCTAGCGAGCTTGGACCCAAGGGAAATCCTTTGTTTCTCCAGCCTTTACAACTTTCAATACCGGCCTGCTAAGGCAATTTGCGCCCCGGTTGAACTCAACGGTACAGCGTAGTACCTGCGAGTGAACTCCCTAAGGATTGTATGAATCTGCCCGGCTCATTTTATGCGAAGTGCTCTGGAACTACGGAGGGTAGTCTACATAATCCACATTCACAGCGTCGAGGCGCGCATGCCATCAAACCAAGACAATTCGCCTTGGAAAGATGGATCCCGAACCCCACACCGCATATCAGAGGTTCTGAATCTCACAATGTTCGTCAATAATCGCCAATGTCCGAATAATTGCCATATCTTCTCAGGAGGCCCAACTGTCTTTAAGACCAGGTGGACACCAACGTCTGGGTATTTCGAATTTTGCCGAATTATCTGAATAACAACACCCACAGTGACATTTTGACAGGGGGATGCCGACGAGTTTTGTGACGAGAATCGCCCCAATCAGGGAGATAGCTAGTTAACCCAATAGTAGCTACATAAGTTAGCAGGAGAACCCCCTCAATCCCCCATGTAACTAATGTATAAGCATATTAAGAGAATCGCTAGGAACAACCGTGCCAGATATTGTATAAAAATACCGTTTCGGAAACTAAAGCGCCGGGCTACTGACTTTATTTCTCCTGGTCGCGTTTCCACTAAATGGCAAGAATATTAGCACCACATGGAATACGAAAACTGGCCTGACATCGACTGGAGAATTAATCCAGGTCCTCTCTACACAGCTGCAGAAGCCCTCTTTGGTAACAGCTCCTTCATTGCGATCCGTTCACATTCCCCCTCTCATATGTAGCAGATTTTACATAAAAGCAACCGGGAGTGCCCTGGGGTCAATATAAAAGCGCTCGGGAGTGGATTAGTGCAAACACAAAGGTGACCAGGAAGTGGCTTGAGGTCAAATGAAGTTAGTTATAGTAACTAGATGTAAATTTATTCTTGGTCATGCTTGGTCACACAATCAGCCTCCGACTCCGATTCACACCAAAACTTACATATCGTAGGTGCGGACAAACCGGCAATATAAACATGTCCGTTAGCTTACGCAGTTTACGTTCGTATAGTTATTCTTCCGTGTATACATTTACTTAACATGACATCGAAGTTCTGCCAGTTCTTTTCCACCTCTTTTCCTTCATTTATCAACTGACATGGCCACATGTTACCATTGAAAGGGCACGAATCACTTGAAACCCATTCGTTCAATGCAATAAAAAATGCAAAAAAGTTAGCTTTGCGCAACTGGAAACTATCAAGACTTTCCCAGGAGTTTCTCAACAACAGCCACTTTGTCTTCCATTCTTTGCACTTTGTCGGTTCTGTTGCAGATTTACTAGTCAGTGGTGACAAAGTTAAAATATCGAATCAGAGGACAACGCGCTCACCTGGACCCAACCCGTATATCTGTCTGGATACGAACAATACCCTCGTTATGTAGCATGGTATGTGCCTGCCCAATAACAGCAAAAACAGCGTCCCATGAGCCTTCTGGATGGTTTGGAGTCTCGTCAGCTTTTCAGGTAGTAGGCATGTGGAGACGCATTCAAGTCTATTATTTAACAGAAAAGTGGAATAGATAGAAAGGATAGAAGCATTGAAAATACATCCCACGTTTTATCACCAGTCAGGAGCAATAGAGCGAGACTATGAAAGCGTATATACACATACCTAGAGTTGTTCCAGCTGAATGCATGACATACTTCACACCAGACTTCTCAACGAGCCGCTGAACATCAGCTATTTGTTGAGATACGGAGGGAGAAGATGTTCCTATCTGTTGATATATTGTAAGATATATAGTTACATAACTGCAATGGACTAGTTATAACTATACAAACGCCAACTTGGAGTAGGGCATTTGACCAATTGGGCTCTTGCAGGAATTGAGATCGCCCCATGGAAGAAGCTTCTTGAGGCGTTGGGGATGTCATGAGTGGATCACCCATGTCAGCAATAGATGGCATACATACCGGTATCAAACAAAAGTCCGCTGTGCAATGAGGTGGCGTGGAGAATGTACCACTAGATATGCTTTCCATGGCTGAGGGGGGTGGTTATGTTTGTCCTAACTACTCCGTACTCTAAATTAGATTAAACAACGGCGCATCAAGAGGATCGGCTGGCGGCCAAAGATCTTGGGTGTTGTCTGAGAAGTTTGCGATTGATTTTGTAAGTGAAGATGAACACCTGGACCAGTCAGTGGCCACAGCCCCCCCTCAAGTGAGTTAGTTAACTACTTGGGCCCCATTCTTGACCTCAACTCAAAACATATATTATCTTTTCTACCTTCTCATAGTGAGCTCTCGACGCGAAATATCTATTTAAAAAGCCATCGGAGGATTAGGCAATGGCACACTCCTCTCTGTTAAAGCTGTAGCGGCAGATTACAGACCCTACATCACTAATTAGCTGGTAGAATCAAATGCGATTTAGCTTGCCTGTAGCAGTAAAGATTAGGCTCTGAACCAGAAGAGTAATTATCTAGTTCAGTAAATTCTGAATGAAGATGTTCAAGCTCATCCATTCTGTTACGCATGTGTATGAGAATTTGATCTTCTGCATTTTAGAGATTAGTAGAAATACTACTCCTCTAGACAGAGAGTGGGTTGTTAGGTGTCTAAGATATAATTTAAAAATCTTGTTTATATTCATAGAAATCTTCCTGTTAAAAAACTTCATAGAACTCAATCAGCGTAAATTTAGTAGTTCTATGATCTATATATTATAAGCTGCAAATTTGATATAATATATATACAGAAAATATATAAAATATAAATAGGTATAAAATAATACTATGAAAGTACTGCATATCACATTCCTGGTCTGCACGCATTTGGGTCTCCGCAGCCTTGACCAAGCTTGATGCGTGCATTTCTGCTCAGTGAAATGAGCGCAGGATGTATCAAACGAGAGCAGCATTGAATCTCATATTCGAAGGGGGAAAAACGACTTGATTGATATTCTAATTTCTAACCTCTCTTCTATCTCTGAAAAATTTTCACCCGTTTATTTATAACTCTGGAATATCCAAATTTACCCTATTTTCTTATATGGGACGCAGCTCCCGTTTGACAAGAATTTTAGAGTCTCGTCTCAAGGCACGTAATAAACATGACAAGTAGTGTCCATTATTCCTGACAACACAAACCTTGTTACGCGTTGGTCTACAAGTGGACCGACTTGGAAAATGCTGAGAGTTAGGAATGGGAGGTGAGCAGGAAAGGAGTCAACAGAAAGATGGATTCCAAGGGAAGGGAGCCCGTTTTCATACCCAAGGCTCGGAAAGCGGTCACAAGATCGTGCGTGCGTCTCTGATGAAATGGGCTATGGGTCAGGTTTCAGTGGCATCCCTGGAAATATACCGTTGCATGTAGAAAGGCCGCATATATTCGACAAATGTGACACTGAATCTGCGTTAGTCTACGATATCTGAGTTCTTCTGTGCATGCCGAAGCTCCTTGATCATGTTCAGATACAGATGAGAATTCGGTTTCTTCCATCGTCTACCGTCTGGAAAGACAAGGCGGCGTAACCTATTGACACTTGGGATCAGGGGTTGATGGTGTGGAGTGAAATTATCCTCTGCAATTCCGAGAAAATCACTCTCATCATCAACAATCTCTTTTTAGCTTGTGCAAGCTCTTCAGTTTCCATATAGTTCCATTTCTCCAAGTGCCTCGCCTCTTTCCCTTTTTTTGGCCCATAATAGCGAATGCATATCCAGAAGAGGACCGAGAAAATAGACTCCATATCGTGCATGAAGGAATGTTTTTCACCATACAAGACACCAATAGCCATGAATGCCCCTGGTGCCAGTCTTGCCCTGGTGCCTGTCTTGCCCTGCGCGCCCGAGGACTCATCCCGTCGTTTCTTGATTGCCAGGTCAAGGTCGATCAGGAAAGCCCGCCATGACGGGTTGTTGTCCTCAATTCACCATCAGATTGCGTAGGGAAACGTCGCATTGGACAAGGCCAGCCTTGTCATAGAGTGAGATATAACCTTCAATACAGCCTGCAACCAAGCAAGTAAAGCAGCCCTTGAGCTGCAGTAGTAGATAGGCTTCCCATAATCCTAGACAACCACATGACAACACACTCAATTCGGTGAGATAGAGTCCACCGTTGGTTTGGTGGGAGAGCTTGACTGGGTACGTTTACTCGGAGGGGGGGAGGAAGCGCTGTGTCCACAGTCAGAAGGTCGTTTCTGCCCAGCAGTGCTGCCTTGGCTCTTTTGTCCTCTTCAAGATCTACTGCGCCCGCACTCTCGTATGTTCACGATCAGATGCCATACAACATATACTTACGTTTGCTTCAGAATCAAAAGAGAGACCCGGAAGACTGGAGAGATCTTCATCAAAGTCTTCGGGAGTCACATCTCGATCTTCTTTGATAGTGAGAGAGCATGCAAACGATAGAACCATGCTGGAAGCTCCTGCCTTGGGTTATCCATGTTGAAAAATACTTCATAACTCATGCACAGTTTTTCAAATCTATTCTGCTGTCCCAAAAACCCACTCGTCAGCAACCTCATCTGGCTTAAATAGTGGCTTCCATAGGGCAAAATCGGCGATTTTCAAAACTGGAGAACCACGGTTCAGAGGAGGAACTTCGGTGCGCCTGCCTGTCTTTTGATTTTTCGATCTTAGGAGTTTGGGGGTCGTCCAGGTCCTTCGTTGAACATCTAGTTCCTGCGCCCGGCATCAACGGAGATGGATTTCAGTTGCACATCCATGCGTTCCAATAATGCCTGGCTGTTACGCTACACCCAAATAAAAATACAGCGCATCTCATCTTCAAAAAGAGCCGGGAATATCTGCAAGTAGCGAGAAGAGCTCCATCTGTGTCTTGAACTGGAACCAACCTTGTGCTGGTTGTTACACCATTTACACCTCTGTTTAGCAGTCTCTGGAGAGCTTGATGCGCGTTTTTGTAGCAAGACAGAAGCAAAAGAGTCAGTCCACTCACTGTCCAGAGAGCGTGCCATCCGATCCGATAGGCGCTGCGAATCCATCAGTGTCCCATTCTGCACCTGTCTGTCCTCACAAGCCCTATGGACCTTGAGGAAAATTTGGAACCTTGGTGTTGTATATGGCCAAAGTGAATAGGTGCTGGTGTTTCCCCGGGCCCGCGCTTTCAAGCTAACCTGGATCATGATGTTTGCGTGGATTTCTCTTCCCCTGTCCATTCTTCCTCCGCTTGTGTTCTTCAAAATGTCACGACCAGGCTTCCTACTGTCAGGTGATGCTGCGGGCTACCCTAACCACGTTCCTCCATACAGTATATATAGTTGGTAGTTTAGATTTCGGCCAGCAAGTTCGTACAGCACAACAACGTGGTCCTCCACAATCCTAGTCTGCCAGCTCCACCGATGGGCAAAATATGTGGCTCCTTAAAATCGAAATAATGCGGAATCTCCCAAGTGACGTGTGAGTCATCATCAACGATCACCCCTCCGGATTTTCTAAGTGGTAAAATAATAGTATCGTATGTGGCCGCAACTCGTGTCCCCCCAAAGAAGAAGAAGATACAACCGTAGTCGTGACGTGATTTCTGCATTATATCAGAAAGGAGTATGTAACACAGAAGGCGTATCGTACTTTTCCGCAGTATTCCTCAATTTAGAGATACCAGCTTATCTTCATCAAAAATAGGAAGTGTGACGGATGCTTCTTCGAGGTGGGTTGGAGGGGCACGAGTTCCCGTGATAAGGATTATCTCATGTGATATAGTGTGTTAGTGTGGGATGGTTGATCCCGTATTGGGAGGACAAGCTGGCTAGTCTATATACGGTATGTAGGATCGCATGCGGGGCGATGGCAATTGCGCATTCGCCTATGCCCCAATATCTTTATTGCCTTCATTCTCTTTTGATTTCTATGTTTTGACTTCTTCTTTTCAATTTCGCCTTAACTTTTTCCTTCGTCGCCGCTATATTAATCCTGGTAAGCACCCGCATTTCCAGGACAGACAGGACTTGGAAATTCCAGTTCGATACACTTGCCCTGGGATATATCTCCCCGAACCATTTTTCAAAAAACACGATCGGACCACTCCTTCTGGATCCTCACAACGCCTGCTTGATTGAACCCACTTTTCCCCCCGGCGATGTCGAACGAGAACAATGGCATGCAGAGGGGTCCAGTCAGCTCTTCTGCTGACAGGCGCACCGATATTGCGAGTCAGCAGGAGGTTGGAGAGACTTACAGTCGGGTAAATAGGAGAAGAAAAAGCTTTGACAGCCTTTTAAAGCCCAAAGTGACGTAGTACAGGACTCGGCAAATAAAAGCCCAACTTCTCCCAGACCGAAGGAGGGCCGGGTTGTGTCGACGCATCAATACGTAGATGACATTGATGACACGGGAGAGTACATGGACTGGTGAGGAGTACTCTTGCTGAATGTCATTCGATTGTTATGCTGACAACCAGCAGTCCGCACTGCGGTGATGCTGTCTCGAAAGAATGTTTTATAGCGGGCCACTTTGACTGGTGCCTCACCCACCAACATATAGCGAATTACACCGAGGCTGGAAAGAGATGCCTGCATGCGGACGCAAATGGCTACAATTGCGCTATCGAGTATGGCGGTAAGCCCTCTTTCATCTCCACCGGGCGTACATAGACGGGAGCGGGTTCTGTGCTGACTATTCAGCAGAGTTCTTGGAGGAGGATGAATCGGATTCGGAGTCTGCTGAACCGGCTGAGAATCAGACGGCAAATAACGGTAAACCGTCCAAGTAGGAAGAATGAAGTTTGCCGAGCCAGGAGGCAAGGAACAAGGAAAAGCGGCAGTGACGGCATTAAGAAATACGCAAAGTATGAGGACAAGAAGCGTGGGGGGTGATAAAAGTGACTTCTTCATCCAACCCAGCTGCTTTCCACAGCTATGCAGACGGTGGACATAAAATTAGTATAATCAGGGTTAAACGTGGAAGAATGCATAGACAAAGGAACCACCGCATTTGGACAGAATTTCGCGGCCCTTACTATTTTCATAAGGAGCATCTTTTGACAGCTCTGCCATGGTTTCCAGACAGTGGCTGCACTCTTTAGTTGTGGATGGGGGCCCATCTGCAATAAATATGTGATGGCCAATATCGCGTGTGTAGTAATAATAGTTGATAGTTATGTATCTTCGTTCGGTGATCTCTCCCGTCTGATTCAACGCTCCATACGGGCTAGCTAGATCACGTGCAGCCTGGCTGGCCAGATCACGTGTTAGCGCGGTCGAAGTCTCGTCGCTGCGGCTTTGGGCTTTGCGCCAGGAGCGAGGTCTAGTTAGTTAGTTAGTTACCTATGAATTCCTTTCAACAGAATCAACAGTCAAAAAGAAAAGAGAGGTGAGTCTACCTGCCGGTCTCCTGCATTTCCAATCTTTCATTTACACATTTGTCTTGGCAGAAAGAGCTGCATGTTAATTCTCCAGCCTCGTCCCAATCCACAGCCACAGACCTTTGTGTCTTATCACAATGGGGAGGTAGGATCCTGCAACTGATACAGTTTTTCAACTTATGGGGCATGTTCATGCTTTATCAAAGGTAGATCTTCATAGCAAGGTGAGCAGCTTAGTAATGTCCATTCATAGTCTTAGAGGACCGTTATCAACCTTGTTACATTGGTGTGACTCTTAAGCAAGCTAGCTACTACCAAGAAATACATAGGTGCACGTGACCTCGGGTAGCCGGGGAATCCTCTAACACATAGTTAGAGAAATTGATTATCATTAACTAGAAGTATCTATTGTTACTGATCTGATGAGACAAACAAATTAAACCACCATACATAGTAGCAGCATGTCGTAGCTAAATCTTAGACCGCGCCGTCTTGGAGTGGTTCTGTATATCAAAAGCTAGTTAGTCAAATCTAGTGAAATAAGCAGAAAACTACGTTATGTATTCTGCAGGGAATATCAATGAATCTCAATCTCTCTTACTCCTTATTTTCTAAACTGTAACATGAAGCTGTTCTTAGGATACTTATATACCCACTGATACTGCAGCATACTTGTCAAAGTAAACACAGATCTCAACAAGCTTCCTAACTTATCAGAAGCATACAACATTTGACATCATATTGTCACTCTTGTAATGTAGAGTGATCCAAAAATTCACACAGGCCTGGAATGATTCGAGTCATGTCCGCGACACCCGTCAGCTCCATTATAAGGCTTGGACATGCCTCCTTCACTGTGTCACGTCACCATGCCCTTGTCACTTGAGTGAAGTGTGAAATTTTCGCCAGCAAGGGTGAGAGATCAGGCCAGGCCATCAGCGAATGTATATCAATGCTACAGAGGATGTCAGCAGGGGGAAAAGTGAAGATGCAGGAGATGCAGGCCCCCCTTCCTTTGTGTTCCAAAGTAGGACGGCCCAGATATTGAGAGATTGAATAGCCAGTGACGCAGAAATGACTGTAGAGAGTAGACAAAGAGGGCTGAAGAGCTAAGACCAGGACCTGGGTGGGAAGTTCTCCGGAAGATGGGTGGGTGGAGATGGGTGTGGAGTGAGAAGGCGAAACAAGGGAAGATTCCAGGGGCAGGGTGAGGATCGTTACTCAGGATTGAGCGCGGGCAAGTGAGGGCCTGATAGTGGGCGACCGGTGAAAGGGGTAAAGGAGCAGTTGTAGTTGGTTGTTAGGTGTGTGTGGGTTTATTTAGTTATATAGACAGGCGGTCAAGTGAAGCCGAGATCAAGTGCCCCCGACCGCAACCGCACAGGGACGGCCATTTTGCGCTCGGGAGGCCCCTCAAAGGCACAAGTTTAGTTGTTCATTTTCTTTTTATATAAAGTATTTATGTCTTTATTATTTTAAAAATCAATGACCCTAATTATAACTATGTTGAAATAAATGAATTACTCATTTGAAATGCTCAACTACTCCTTTTAAAACTTGTTTCTTCTCCTCAGAACGATTGCTCTGGATTGCGCTGTCGAACAAGCGGCATTCAAAACGGCCCAACAGCTCCCAAATCCAGGTGGAAAACTCCCACGCGACCAAGGAACTTGAGTCTGGATGATTGGATAACGGAATGTGGTTGTTTCCACGCAACCTGCATTAGTTAAATAGTTAATAACTACTTGTTTCCCGGACCCAGGATTGACGATGCAGAACTATAACACCTGTGAAGAATCTCGGAAGCAGACCGGCTGGGGGTACCTTAAATTTGGTGTCCATGCAGAGCTCTGAGTGAGTGCTCACAAAGGAATTCTCCAGTTCCCTCCATGTAGTTACAGATTAAATCAGTTTACGCTTGTTCCATTCCATGGGAAACCCTTCCCTTTGGTTAGACAACGGTAGGTAGGTTGAGCGCCAGCCTGCAGGGGAGAAATCGTGGCAGCTACCCCGCTAGTTAGTTAAACCTGAACTCCACCCCCACACGAAGTCCTGTTCACACAGTTGAGTCGTGATATTTATTTTATTTTATTTTATTTATTTATTTATTTATTTATTTATTTATTTATTTATTTATTTTGATTGCTTCGGATCTGGCTGTCGACTTATTGATATATGAGAAAAAACAACCGAGGCTGCCCCCTCAGATACCGAGTTATCTAACCCCTCTTCAACCTGTCGCCCTCGGCCTCCCTCGCCTCCCTCGCCTCGTTATTCGCAGCGAGCTGAACACTAGCTTTGATGCTCCAAGCCTTATTAGTTACCCACCCGATCTCGCCTGGTCTGATCATGTCGATGCCCTGTAAGGTTTGGACGGCCTGGTGCTGCTAGGCATCCATACGTCCAACCAGCGGAGGGGGTGGGTGATCTGTCAGAGGTCCGAGTCCGTCCCCAAACTCAAGGTTACGCCCTTTTCTCGAGAGCTGAATGGGGAGTTCCTGTTTGCCAGTGAGCAGCTGTATTCGCTGTCGGCTTTCTGTCTGGGGATTGTAGTGATTCTCTCGATGAACTGCGGTTGGCGAGGCATGCATGCAGCCTTGGTTCATCCCTTGTAACTAGTTAGTTAGGAACTGAGGCCATTGAGGTTTTTCCGCAGGAAACGAAATGAAGATAACGATCTTGCCCGTCAGAGGTGAGAGGAAGAGGGAACTAGTTAACTAGTTCACTAGTTCACAAGGGAACTTGAAAAAAAAAAAAAAAAAAAATTAACTTGGGAAGTAAACTAATTAACTAACAAAATCGTCATAAAATTATTTCGTGATGAGAGCTAGAAGCTGCCGTTTAAAACGAATTGTGTTCGCCACCAGGTCGAGAGTTTAATAATAATAGGGTACAATGTTGGGTCTTGATATATTTTTACATTGTTGGGCGGCTCCGTATTCTGATAGTTGGCTCGAAGTTTAACTCTTCCGGCCGGACCCCATGCGAAATGTAATTAGAACAAAATTATATAATTATTCTTTGATCACTCCCACCCACCCCCCCCTATCTTCCTCTCTGCCCTGACCCTTTCCACTCCGTATATCTGATCCGCCCGGCAGGTCAGGAGATATGCCTCTCTAGAGAGCGCCTCTTGCTGCAATCTCTCGAGCCGGAGTTCGGCACAGGCACGACAGTGGCCAGAAACACTGCTGCAGCACTCGGACTCTTTGAGTAACTAATATCGCAACAACCCAGCAGTTCTGAAACGCAGCAGATGCTGTCGAACCGTCTCCTCAATCTTTTAGCCTACACGATCTATTGGTCGTTGACATTTTCTTCTTAATTTGCTTATTTCTGGGAGTGAAAACGGTGTTCGTGCAGCTACCAGAGGGTGTTGGAGTTGGTTACGAGTGGTTTGCGCATTTGCTGCGGAATTCTTATTTGATTTGCCAATAGGAACCAACAACGATAGTTAATAAGGAGGGGAGAAGTTAGGAGGGAGTTTTTTTTTTGGTTTTTTTTTTTTTAAAAAAAAAAAACAAAAAAAAAAAAAAAAAAAAAAGTCAAAACATTCAGAGAGCGGAACAAGCAAGCTGGTTAAATAAACCCCCCCACCCCACCAGATTTAAAACGAGCCTGTTACCCACAAAGTCTACAAAATCCCCATCTGTCCAACCACTCTCATTAAACATCTCGCATCCCTTCCGTGGTGATTGTTGTTCTCGCTGGCTGGCTGGGGATGGAAACTCTGGACTCAGACCCTGTCCTCGTCGAATTGCGAACATCTTCTTCGCGGCGCCCGTCAGGCTGCTGTCACTGCTGCCACTGCTGCCACCTGCGTCAACCCACACCCGGGACCAAGCAAGACCAAGACCAGTTCTCAAATCCAAGTCCAAGCCCAGAGTCAAGGCCGAATCTGCTGCCGGCCTCTGCGACGTCGTCTGCTGGGCTTTCTGGCTGACCAGCATCACCCCCGACCCCCGACCCCCGACCCCCGACCCCCGACCCCCGACCGCCGACATCCGCTGGCGCCGAGTCCCTCCTGCCCCCGTGGAGCGTCGGATTAGTTCGCATCGGCGTGTGCTGTTTCCCTCTGTGGGTGGTCTGTGGGTGGTTTTCTGTTTTCTTCTGCTTCTGTGTCTTCTCTAAAACATCTATTTTGCAAACTCCGACTTGTTGTATTGTTGATTTTTTGGATTGCTGAAATTCGAATGTTGTTGTCCGTTTATCTACGTTGAATCCAAAGACTTCCAAAATCCCGTATTGTCATTTGCGTTTTCTGCTACGTTTTTGCCGGACTATACTTCCTGATTATCACAGCTGGCTACACATCAGTTATTCCCCCCGCATGATATTTTGCTATATGCCATGCATTATGATGGTGCATCGGGGTTGAAGACGTCAGGCTGCGAAAGGGGCAAAATACGTAGCGCATCACAGAGAAGAAGCGGCCACGAAGACGCCTACCGCGTGCGGCAGGGCTGGCGGGTCAACCTCACCTGTCTGTTATATGACGTCGCCGCCCCATCTGACGTTCTCCCTTGCTGGGTTTGCATTGTTGAGAAAATAGCTGTTCAATTTTAGCCCACGCTGGTCCCCGACCTTTCTATCATCCAATGGTTGGATTGATATTCCTGTTTGCGTTTTCTGCCTTTATATTGATCTTGAGATTCACGGATCGATATAAAAAGCAGGTGCCAGGTCGTATACAAGCTGAGCGAAAGGTGGTGCGAGGGAACACAAGAGAACTGTCGCGCAAAGTACCAAAGCGATCGGCCAACCCAGGATCCGATTGCAACGCAACCGATGCGATGACCCATATCGCATCACTTCCTATCCCGGAACTCCCTGCTGGCACCCAACCACTCTATCTTGCCGAAGGTGGTGCAAACATAGTTTACAGGTATACCATTCCTGGCGAAATATCTCCTGTTGGAGTGATGAGTCCTGGAGAGCTGCAGCAGAAGTCTAGAAAATTACTGCGGCTGCGGAAAGAGATCGATTCTGGTACCCCTTACGAGGATACTTTGAAGAATTTCAATAGCTGCATCAGACCCATGTTTATGAGCGACGAACTGGTTGACCTGGAACTTGTCAGATTACCCAAAGGATTCATTGCATCTTGCAACGAGCAGCTCCGTGCGTTCGAATCTCGCAATGCACGACCAAAAGGACGCACGGGGGTACACCTATCTACCACGGAACCATTTGGGCTTCTGATCACGGATATGACCCCCGCCCCAGGGTCGGGTGACTGCCTATGGGAGTTCAAACCAAAGTGGCTGCTGCAGTCACCATCAGCACCGCCTGATGCAAAGCGATGCAGAACTTGTGCATTACGCGAGATGAAAAACTGTAGGGCACGGAAAGCCGGCAAGCCGGAGAAACTTTCGTTCTGCCCCCTTGATCTAGTATCAGATAACTTCGACGATGTACTCCGTGCAACAAGGTTCATGCGGGGCGATCACGGATGGGACCGTGTCGCCAGGTGTATACACCGAAACAACACCTTGTTAAAACTGCAAGCCTGCCAGCGAGACAAGAATGCCGTGGGCCTCCATGCTCAACAGGCGCATTTCCGTGAACGCGCAATTTCCATGACTTTGAGGGATTGCACCATGTTCATTAGGGTGAGGAATTGAACTGTCCCGAATAGCGACCAAATAGTATTCTGACTGATGCCGGCGTGTTGTTGTAGGTTCCACAAAACGAAGATAAACCACTCGAGGTGCGTCTGGGCGACCTTGATTTTAAGAGCGGAATTGGCGGCAAACTGGAGTATTGGCGAGAAACGGAAATTCGACTCATTGAAGAAGGGTGGTACAGTGGCAATCGGAAGGACCAGGGATTCAGCGAATGTGCATTGCAAGGGCCTCGGGGCGACTTGCGCCAGTCCGCAGAAGCTGCGTTTTAATAATATTTTCGTTATACGGGTTTCACTCTATACATATTGATAACAGTGAGACGCTTGGAAAGGAATGTGGAAACTGTATAAATCACTTGCTCGGATAAATCACTTGCTCAGACGACATAGAACTCTATACTCTATTTAGCAACGCCTCATTATTTTATCCTTATCATTATTATCATTATCATTCTTCTTCTTCCTCTTCCTTATATGTAATTTACTAGTTCATGTTTCGAACCCAAGATGATCTGATCCAGGAACCCGCAGCTCCCAGAAACCCCGAGAATGCACGCCCAAACTACGGAGTGATGATTTCACGTCACAAAATGAACATTTTCTTGCGCTAAACATTTTCCTGGCATTACGCCACTGCATCAGCTAGGTTCCAAATACGTTGGAAATGTTAAACTTAGGGGGAGAATGCTACCAAGTTGGACATTGAATACACGTCGAGATACAGAAGATACTGTCGTCCGACCCTCCACCTATCCGAGTAGCTCCACAGAATTCAAATCGTCCTGTGAAATCTCGGTTAACTGTCCTTTCTGGATACGTTCAAAGGAAGAGAGTTTCCTTCGCGACTGATAAAACCCACGATGACGGTGAGTTTTAACGCTCGATGCAACTGGAGAGCTTTCCCACGGTGCCGCGAGCACCCGCAGAGAATGAGGGGTATGTCCTCGACTACCGTAGCCTGTCGATTTATCTTCTGTCCTCCGATCAAGCTGGAACTCTTATTTTCTTCCTGCGTCGGCTGTTGCTCAATGTGGCCGTCTCCCACATCCTTTCGACCTTCCTTCGGACTGAGGTTGTCGACGATCTCCTTGACGCTCTGGAGCTTCTTTTTAAGATGCAGCAGCAGCAAACCTTTCATGTGCTGCTGAAAGCACAGTGCCCGCGGCCAATCCAACTATAATGCTTCCGGAGGATGCTGATGACTCTCTATTCTGATAAAGAGAAATAAGAGCTCTCTGGCCCCTTTTGAGCACGCCGCCCCGTTGCTGCTGGCTCTTTGTTTGGGTCCCATCCCCTTTCCCAGACATGTTGCTCTCTTGTTAAAAGCAAGACTTGGTGTGATACCGGACAGGTTCAATGGTAGCGAGAGCTGTAAAAAGCTTCTGATAGACATAGGAAACGCCCACGGCATACGAATGATTATGGAAATGGCTTGAAATAGCTATGCATCTGCCTTTTGCCGCTGCCTAATATCGCTGCCCATTTTGTGATGAAAAGCGAGATCATCCAGCCCTCGTTGCAGTTCGACCAATAATGAGCATCAACAATACATACTAATATACTTTTCAAGGATTAGTGCAGCAAACCGGGGACAAAAGGGATTCATTCCTCCCATGGAACGCGGATCTTCCGGAGGTCTCATGGGAAATTGCTGTAAACTAAGCATGTCCAATGTGGAGTCGACAACGCCTCTTCTCGTTGCCCGTCGATTGTTTGATGTATGAGCGTTGATTAACTAGTTAGCTAGTTAGTTAACTATCACTAATTATACCTAGTTAGTCAAACAACGCTGCCCCGTTTGACGAGCTAGCGTATATAACATCGAATGCCCCCTCTTCACTGCTTGAATCATCGCCATCCTTCCTCCAATCTCCCAGTCCCTTGAAATCGACGCTTACTTTGTGTGATCAAACAGTACGATTCCCAGGATGTATGCGGACGGCGAAGCCCTCAAGCATGCCGATATGTTGTACATATTATGGTTGCGCAAATTGCAGCTCTGTCTGATAGAGGACTTGGCTGCGAAAGTTGCGGCCAGGCACTGTCAGGGTACTCCGACAAAAGCCGTCTTCTACAAAGAGGAAGCCAACAATCGTTGTTACAAAGTAACTTTCGCAACGGGCCGCAATGTCGTTGTGCGGCTCCCCAAACTGGGAATAGTCGCTTTACGCAGAGAAAAAGTTGAAAGTGAGCTTTGCGTTATGGATTGCCTCTCCCAGCATAGCTCTATTCCCATTCCCCGGATTTTCGGAAGTGGTGTCTGTGATGTTGGACCGTACATGGTGTTAGAGTTCATTGACGGAACCCCTCTGGGAAAATACTTTCACGCTTCGCTATCAGATCGTTCAAAAGCAGCTGATTTGGACTCTGTGAAAAATGGCTCTGAACTATGGCGTTGCTACCAGGAAATGGCAAGGATCTTTCTAACCCTATCTCGGTGCCAATTCTCTCAAATAGGTTGTCCCAGAAGAGACGCAGACGGGATCTGGTCTGTGGACAAACGACCAGTAACATATAATATCAATAATCTGCTCATGCATGCCAACTTCCCTCCTCGGGATCTAGGGAAAGGGCCATATTCCACTGCGACAGATTACTTTGTTGCACTTGCCCGGGACCATATGCGGCACCTTCAAACCCAGCGGAATGATGCGGTTGCCGATGAGATGGATTGCAAAAAAAAATATGTTGCTCGCTGTCTGTTTACGAAAATTGCACACAGCTTCTCTACCACATATAACAATGGGCCTTTCTGCCTGTACTGCGATGACTTGCAACCGTCAGAAGTTATTGTGGATGCTGATCTTCGCACTCAGAGTGTCATCAACTGGGAATTCTGCTACGTCGCACCGGCTGAATTTACACACTGTTCACCGTGGTGGTTACTGCTAGAGGGCCCTCATGATTTGGAGAATGGAATTGATGACTTTCTCAGTCACTATGAGCCGAGGCAACAAATTTTTCTTTCCGTCTTGCGAGAATGCGAGGCTGAAGCGGCTGCTCAAGGTTATACTGTAACCCCGTCTCTGTCAGAACACATGGAACGATCGATGCAAGATGGAACTTTCTGGTTTTGTCTTGCGGCCAGATCCTGCTTCCTATTTGATGATATCTACTGGAAATTTATTGACTCGAAGTATTATGGGGAGTTTACTTCGATTGAAGATAGGATTGCACTTCTAAGCAAGGATGAGCAGACTGAGCTTGACGGTTTTTACCAGATGAAGATGGAACAAGCGGCGGAGCGGACGTTGGATAAGCATCAGACATTCGATGAAATTCTTGCCTCTTAAGGCTCACCAATCTTTCTTTTTAGACGTGGGCTCGTTCAAAAATTTGCAGATGATATATAGGATGACTTTGAGTAGTAGCCTATCAATAATGTTATGGATGTCTTGGGGCCGTTCTTTCAAGGGTCCACTCTCTGTAAACAGCCGAGTTGCAGGTCATGTAGGACGGGTTGCACTTTTTCAAGGATCTGAATCGAACAATATGCCGGCTGGTTCGATGGGCTGGAAACCCCGTCCACAAAACCTGCAGACGTTGTATAGCAAATAATAGTTATGTATGTCCTTGACAAAATTATCCTGCGCCTGTAACTCAGGGAGAGCGCTAAACTTAATTGGTGTTAAGCCAGATCAGAGCTCCTCCGCCCAATTTTCTGCAGCTAATAGTTATTTAGATGGTAGTTAACCTAAGATACCTGCTATGTAGCGACAGTAGACCTTTGGAGCATGGCAAGCATTGATCAGCAACAAGTCTATTGAGTCAAACGAATGTTAGTTAGTTATTTGCTGGTAGAGTAAGCGTTTAACGGACATGGACCAATCATACGTAGCAGTTATACCAGTAACTAGTTATCCAATGTTATAAAAAAGAGGAGTCCAATAAACTATATAATATTATAACTTATTACCATATTTCTTTGGGAATTAACTAGACAGAACTCCTGGCCATTGGTAATAGTCTAACAACAAATTTGTACGCCTGATCACGTGCGGGCCGCCCACAACGGCTAACTAAGTAACTATAGTAAAAATCCGCGTAACGTAATCAATAAGTGAGTCGGCCACATAAGCAAGTCAGCCACTTTTCACATCTCATCTCAGAACAACATCTTTATCATCAAAAATGCCAACCACAAAAAGAAATAAAGCCTTTACTCAGGAAGGAAGGCTTCTTTTAGCCATTCAAGCATTTAAAAATGGTCAAATTTCAAGTGTATGAGCTGCAGCAAAGCTGTATGATGTTCCACATTCCACCTTAGGTGATCAGTTACATGGTCATACAGCATGCGTTAACACTCCCCCAAAGAACTTGAAACTTAGTCTTACAGAGGAAGAATCTCTTGTTCAATGGATTCTGGCCATGGATGAGTGAGGTGTGCCACCCTGGGTTGCAGCTGTACAATAAATGGCCAATCTCCTCCTTACCAGTCAGGGATTCAACCCCCCACCCACAGTGGGTGAATATGCTGGGTATGAAACTTTGTCAAACACCATGAAGAGCTGAAATACAAGTCCTCCTGCAAGTATGATCATCAATGTGCACTATGTGAGGATTCTGAGATTATCTGTGAGTGGTTTAGGCTCATACAAAACACCATTGCAAAGTATGGAATTCTGAAAGATGATATCTACAACTTTGATGAGACTGGATTTCAGATGAGGGTTATTGAGACTGCCAGAGTGATTACTGGGTCTGAAAGAGCCAGGAATTCCAAGCTTGTACAGCCTGGAGATCAGGAATGGGTGACTGTCATTGCTGGAGTCAATGTCTCTGACTGAGCTCTGCATACAATGATTATTCTCAAGGAAAAGATGCATCAGTCCTGTTGGTATAAGACTGAGGGACTGCCCAGGGATTGGGTGATTGAAGTCAGTGAGAATGACTGGACAAATGACCAGCTGGGCTTGTACTGGCTGAAAGAGATGTTCAACAAGAAGACCCTACCCCATACAAACAGTACACACTGACTGTTGATTCTGAACTGGCATAGAAGCCATGCCTCTGCTGAATTTGATCAATTCTGTTCTGAGAATCAGATCATTGCTCTCTATATGCCACCTCATTCCTCTCATCTTCTCCAGTCATTGGATGTTGGCTGCTTCTCCCCTCTGAAAACAGCATACAGATGACAGATGGAGAATCAGATGCAGCTTGGGATCAATCATATTGACAAGAAGGAGTTTCTGGACCTATATCCTGCAGCTCAGATGCAGGCCCTGACTGAGAACAACATCAAGAGTGGCTTCAGAGCAGCTGGATTGATTCTGTATGACTCTGAGCAGGTTCTCTCACACCTTAATACAACAATGCATATCCCCACCCCCTCTGGGACCTCCCACAACTTCCAGGCCTCCTGGGCCACCATCACACTGCATAATGTACGTCAATTGGAGCAGCAGACTGAGAAGGTCAAAAAATATATCAAGTGCTGTACACAGAGTCCACCCAGTCCAAGCAATTGAGCTCTGAGTCAGCTGGTCAAGGGGTGTCAAATGGCAATGCACAGTGCTGCTATTCTAGCAGCTGAAAACAGAGAGTTAAAAGCTGCAAATGCCAAACAAAAGAAGAAGTGAGAAAGAGGCTGTATATATGTAGCTCAAGAGGGTGCTTTAGAGGTTGAAGAAGGCTTGGATCACATACAAAGCATCAATGAATGGAAAAGAGGGGTGATTGAGGCTGCTGAGTTCTGATCACAAAAACAGACAGCACCACAGTGTAGTGTATGTGGGATTACTGGGCATACTGCTCATACATGCTCTAGGCATATAGAAAATAATTGATAATATAATTCTTTCTCTTTTTCTTTATGATTGAGGCATAGATGCATTCTCATTGTACAGTGAGATGAGAAGTGGCCGACTTGCTTATGTGGCCAACTCACTTATTGATTACATTATGGATTGATTTGTCAAAGTATCGTAAGCTCATTTTTCTTGTTTCCAGCTTGCTTACGATTTTATTTATTTATTTATTTTTTTTTCTTAGTTATGTTTTAGCGCCCGGCGGAGAAGACATGCCGAAAAAGCTTAAGTCATCTCTGACAAATCACGTAACGCTGTTCGATCCATAATAAAGACACAATGGATCACATGGGGCCGGCCGAAACCGAACAGATTTATCCAATTGGTCAATTGCAAGTCACACCCATATCTCATTCACCCTTTTATTATTTACTTATTTATTAATATATATTTTAAAATATATAACTATCCAATTTGTCATTTTGACTGACAGTTTACCAATGGTCAATGGGGTATTGAAGCCATAGACACGAATCATCATTATCATGATCCAACTGCCTCGCCTCCTCAGACATCTGTCGCTGCTCGGTCCCATAAAACCCACTCATCCCCTCGCCCCACGATACATATCAATATTATTCCCTTACACCGCCCATCAACTATCCATTCCTGCACAGATACAAAGCGTCCATTTCTCTCATTCTTCCTCGATTAGTTCCCTTCATCGTCCCTCCCGCCAATTCCCAATTTCTACTCTCCGAACAATCCGCCAAGCTTCCACAGCAGCAGCGCCAGAATTATCTTCTAAGACCATGACGGTCAAAGATATTTCTCACGACGCCCCTCCTGCTTCCTACGAGGCGTTCTTAGCGCTCGCCCAAGACAGACGTTCCGTCTACCAGCTCTCAGCCTCCAGTCCCGTGCCAGACTCGAAGATTCAGGAAATCGTCAGCAATGCCGTCCTGCATGTGCCGAGCTGTTTCAACACGCAGTCCACACGCCTCGTGCTGCTGCTGCATGACGAGCATCGGAAGTTGTGGGATATTACTATGAAGATTTTTGAGGAAGGGCTCGTTCCGGACGGGAAGGTACCGAAGGAGATGTGGGAGAGCCATACGAAGCCCAAATTGGGATTGTTTAAGGCCGCGTATGGGACTGTATGTATTGACCTCCTCTTCTTTCTTTCTTTCCCTGAAGGGTGGAAGTGATGATGTCTTCGATAAACGTATCCCTGCTTGCTAACCAGTTTCCTTGAACCATTGCGTGTGTATGCAGATTCTCTTCTTCGAAGACCCGGCGCACGTCCGCGGCCTGGCAGAGAAGTTCCCAACGTATAAGGACTATTTTGGACCCTGGACAGAGCACACGAATGCTATGCACCAATATCACCGTTCGTTCCCTTTCCCTTTCCCATTCTCTCTCTCCCACCTCCAAAGAAAATCGTTCAAAGCTTACCACGTAAACTCCTTTCTCAACTGTAGTCTGGGTTGCCCTCCGATCCGTCGGGCTCGCAGCTAATCTGCAACACTACAACCAACTAATCGACGACGAAGTTGCCAAGACCTGGTGCCTTCCCTCCGAATGGCGTTTGGTGGCCCAGATGGTCTTCGGCACTGCGACAGGCGAGCCAGCGGAGAAGACATTTAAGCCGGTAGAGGAGAGAGTGAAGGTGTTTGGGTCGAAAGCACAAATTTAGATGTCGGTTTCGAGCTGGACTGGAGATGTGGGGATATCGAGCTTGGAAATACTAGATTTTCCGATGCCCTGACGGGTTCTGCTTTCCTACGTGTTTTCCTATGGGATTGTTTTCTGTCGAGATATTTAGTCTTGAGAATTAGGTTTTCTTACTTCGTTGTGGCTAGACCGATACTAGCCCTCCGTTGCTCATGGAGGACGCATGTGATGTTGATCTCCATGCCTTGTATAGACCTAGATAGGGAGATGACTTGACGGCCAGCAGCTCCCGTGAGAAGTCTATAACTCCTTTGTGAATAACGATCAGTTAAACAAAATAACTAAGACACAAGCTGATACCAATAAAATGGCCCAGTAATAAGGGTTGACTGCTGCGATTGGGCGAAGCAAAACTCAGTAACTTATCGCCAAGCTTCTGACTGTGGAAACTGAAGCAGAGGAAATGTTGTTCTCTCTCAAAAAGTTCAAACATATGTTGGCTCCTCTGCCACGACACTGGTAGTTCATCCATTGTCTCATACGAGTTAGGGGGGCACTCCTGTTTCAACGCGGGTAGGACGTTGAACTGAATCTCAACTTCATCACACCACTTGATCTGCGACAATGTGGACTGAGAAGGATAATTCGGGATCTCGTTAAGGCTAAATGGAATAACCAATGAGAGAAAGCTGAACAAATGCATGCCTCGATCGGGTCTTTTGACGACTTGACAACGATTCAGAGCTGGGTTGAAGGTCGGGCTTTAGTGTGTGAGTGCGCTTGTGCGTGCGCGTGTGGACGCATAGACGGAGGTTATGAAATCTCCGTTTTGGAATCTCCGTTTTGGAATCTCCGTTCCGACATTTGTTTCGCGGATGATTTGGAACGGACGAAGTAGTACGCCCCAACATTTCGTTCCTCCACGTCGAAAAATTAACCTTCTATTTCTTCTTAACGACAGTGGTGATGCCTTCGCTCTTCTTCAACTCTTCCAGCTTCTCCTCTCGCTCCACAAGCTTTGCTTTCTCCTCCTTCAGCATTTGATCCACAGTCTTGATCGCCTCCGCTAACCTATCCAGCTCCTTCGCTTCCGTCTTGTGACTATACGGATTCTTCGGGCTATCCGAGTGAGGGATTTCTGCTGTCCTCCCTGGCTGTGGTAGTGACTGCTTTGCGCCCTTTCCCGCCTTCCCCTTAGGAGCCTGCTGCGCCGCCCCCGCACCCCCCGTGAGCAGATCATAAAATTGCTCAACAGGTTCGTTGAACACGACCTCCTCATAGTTCTGCGCCACAATGACATCTCTTCTCTCTCTCTTCCCTTCTATGTCATCTCCGTACGGGTGGAGCTTTAAACTATGCCATAAAGTCTGCGGCTTCTCCATTGATTCCGGGACGAAATAGAGCTTGATCTGGATCTCAAACTCACCCCACCCTGTCTCTGTTACTTCGAAGGGGGGTGACTCAATGGTGCGCACGGACTGCGCGTAGGTCTCATGTAGTTTGAATTGAACCTTTTTCAACCAGTATGAGATGTCCTCGTCATTCACTCCTTTAACGAATGCGCGCCATTGGTGGGTGTGGTCTTCGGGGGCATCGGGGGGTCGTTTGGCTGGGTCAAAAGGTTGCGCTTCGCTTCCGAAAACTGCGGGTTTGGTTGTTAGAGGAAAACTGGAGTCGCGAGAGAGAAGGGAACACAAAGTTTTGGGGAAGAATTGTTTTACACACCGAATGGCCTGTAGATTGAGATTCCCTGTGGCATATGTTAGCAAACTGAGACGTGAAGAGAGAAGGAGTTGTCGGGAGACAAACGCGAACGCGCTTTGTGCCTGCTGGAGCAGGCATAATTTCAAGAGGATCCGGAATAAATCTGTTGAAGTAACGATGCAGTTCAGAGGTATTGGACACTTGAAGATCTCGAGGTGCGACTCGTACTTCGAATTTGGGATGATGTTTTAGTTTATGATTCGATTTATGATTCGGTTCAAGCAGAAGAGAAAGATCTTTGGTTTAAACTCCATAATCACGTGATGTAGAGTTTCGGTCCGGAGTCTGTCGTCACAAAACAATACGATATCGTTAAATATCAACTCAGAAGAGCTTCTCAAGCTTAGAGGAACCACGTACCAGTTCTCGTACACTGTTAGTAAAATGATCAGTGGTGTTAGTTTTGCTTTTACGGCTTAGTTCAAACTATTTCCTCCTGCTGGAAGGGAGATGGCCGCGGCGAAGAGAATAGTTGTTGCGGGCGGAAGTGGATTTTTAGGTATAAGAATATATCACCATCATCAATTCATAACAATTGCTCTACCATATCGATTTTAGTCTCCATTTCTAACAGATTATATAGGTTCAAGAATATGCAAATCAGCCGTAGCAAGAGGCTGGGAGGTAGTGTCATTGAGGTAATTTGTTACCCTTTACAATCCAGACGGCTCCGCATACATGCAAAAGCGTGACCAATGTTCTTCATTTCTAGTCGACACGGCGAACCAGCCTGGGATACTATTACATCGTCTCCGCAGCCTCCACAATGGGCAAAGTCCGTGGAATGGGCCAAGGCTGATATCCTCAAACCGGCCACCTACAAGCCATTCCTCAAATATACTTCTGCGGTCGTCCATTCAATGGGAATACTACTAGAAGCGGATTACAAAGGCATTTTACAGGGGAGAGAATCGATAGTGAGTGGACTACGTAAAATATTCGCCCCATCTCGGCCTGGGAGCCAGAATCCTCTACAAAGGAAAGAAGGGGAAGAGTTGCTTTCTGGAGAATCGGGCGGCCAGTTAACATATGAACTTATGAATCGGGACTCAGGTTGGTTTAAGACTATGGATTGTCTATTGATTTTAAGGTCTGGAATAGCCTTGCTAATATGTCTCTTTCATAGTGGTTGCTCTAGCTCAAGAAGCTTCATACGAGCATGTCCCGACATTTGTCTTCATATCAGCCGCTGCCGGAGCTCCTATGGTTCCGGAAAGATACCTCACAACAAAGAGAGATGCCGAAGCTCTCATATCTTCTAATCTCTCTGACCTCCGCAGTATTTTCATGAGACCGACTTTCATGTATGATTCGTCACGTAAATTGACTCTGCCGATTGCGCTGGGCGGGATCGTGGGTTCAGAAGTGAACGGGCTCCTTGGCGGAAGACTCTCGTCCCTAGGAATGATGACCGCGAAGCCGCTGAACGTCAACATCGTAGGTGAAGCCGTGGTGGAGGCTATTGGTGACGACGATGTCCAGGGTGTCGTAGGACTCAAAAAGATTGAGACTCTAGCAACGAAAGGTTGGAGGCGATCCATGCTTTAAGCTTACTTAGATCATTACATCTCCTTGGAATTTGCGTCTGGGAGAAAGCGTGCTTTGTATATTATTTGAAAGGGAGATTTTTCTTCTCCTTACTCCCGGAGCTGTATAATAATAATAACAATGGGTATTCATCTAGCTTGTGCCGCTGTTCTCAAATCATGGTACCTCGTTCGAAACTGTCTCGAATCTCTGCAGTATACTAAATGATAAATGTAAGTACATGACGCAACAGGAGCTGGATATACATAATAGTCGTCTTTGGCTTACCTTGTTGTAAAATCTCGCCAGTTGTTGGTTGAACTTCTTATTCTGGTCATTGATGTAAGTGACATCATCTTCCTCATCGCCACGGCCACGGTCCTTGCGTTTCTTCAGGCGAATTTCTTCTGCCTTCCTCAAATCTGCCACCAACCTATCAACTGCAGCGCGATCTGGTTTATTCTCTGCGAAATCCACCGAATGGGCCGTGGAATAGAAGGTGCCATTTTTATCAACAGCAACAAGCTCGCCGTCTTCTGCCTCTACTATCTGAAGTTTGCCACTTGCTGCAGCCTTTTCTACGGCAATAATCCTTTCTTTTTCGTATGCTTCAAGGTCTGGCTGCATATGCCTGATTTGTCTCTTATAGATCTTCCGAGCATCTTGTCGGTAGTCTTGGAAAGCAGTGTCGTCTCTATGCCTCTGTTTCTTTTCCATGCGTTTATCCCATTTCTCGGATTCGTCAATGGTCCAGTCCCAAGCACGCTTTCGCTCAAAGTCCTCGCCTTGGGCTTCAGTATCTGCCTTGAGAAGGTTATGCGACGCGAACGCATGTTTCCGAGATATACTGGAGAGAAGGCCAGGATCTGTCGCTAGTCGCTGCGACTCCGCAGCTGTTTCCTTCAAATTTCTCTCTGAAGCATTTTTCTATATTTTTGTCAGCAAATGAACATAAAATATCATGGTGGTGTTGGGGAGGGACAGCTGGAGGCTTAATACTTACAGCTCTCGCTTGAAGCGCCTTGAAACGGTTTCTCATATCTTCGGTCTTGGAGACAGCAGGATCCGCTACCTTGCTGTTTTCAGGTTCAGCAGATGAAGGCCCCGCAGCAGCATCTGATACGGGAGTCTCGTCAGGACATGCAGAAGAACTGCCATTCGCCTCACTGGTCTCATATTTGGTGGTTCGCCGCCTTGTCAGTTTTGGGGTACCGGGAATGTCTGTGACAGGACTTTGCTGTTTCTTTTGGTCTGTCATTGTTGCATGCAAAAAGCACTGCTCCGCGCGTGGGCTATGGTAGATTATAGAATGCTGGTTCCGATTGCTTTGAGTGTGAATAGATAGATGGATGAATGAAGGATAAAGTTGAAGTTGCAGGAATGGAGGGATGACTCAGCAAGAATTACAGCTAACTAACCTAATCAGGACCAGCTTGTAACTTTGTGTCCGTAACGGCGTGACGGATGTTCCCTTGATGTAATTTATTATTCATCCGTTGGAATCATCCAACCGTCCGATTTTATCTACGAGCTTTAACTACATACAACCTTAGCAACTGGTACCCCTATAATGGCCGCATTCTCCTGATAGCTTTGGTTATTCAATTCCCCGGAGGAGAGCTTCTTATGTTGGGCTTCTCTGTTTGCCGATTATGGCTCCCACCGAAGCCCCAGTTTTGTCGCTTCACTTCTAGTTACCACCTCCCGGGCAAAGTGTCGTATGCTCGCCTCAAACTCGAACAGCGAAGGTCAATGCCGCGTCCAGAACCGTCAGCGTCACAGTTGCTCCGATTTGCAGTAACAGGGACTATAAAAGCGCCGAATAGCCAGTACTCCTCCGAGACTCTCGAAAAGCATGTAGCAGCAGCGTTTGCCCAGCCCCAATTACCAGAGACCTGGACAATATTCAACTCATCCTCCGTACCCAATAACGTTTTTAACAAATCTACTCCCCCCGTTGACAGATTTGATCCAGTTTACTTCCAGAATGCTGCTGAACTGCCGAAAATACATGCCATATGTGAGAGGTATTTAACCTTTCCTTCGGTAATCCGTGAGTTGCAGCAAAACACTAAGGCCCTAGTGGGTGCTTTGAAGCACTGTGGTCAATATGAACCGCCTGAGAAAATCCTAATAACTTTGAATGCCATTTTTGCAAGATTTGATCTATTGAAGATTCAAATACCGCAACATCTTCTGATCTTTGGCATGAAATTAGCTGCACAGCACTTTTCAGCCGCGGCTCTTCGATCCTACATCCAAAGTTACGTTGCCGGCAGGTATGATTCTCTACCTGCCCGTTCTGCTAGAGACGTCATCCGAAACCTCTATCTATGTTTTAAGTCGAGTGTGTGGGCGAGCCCTGCTGTTGACCTGGGTCCTATGCGAGAGGTCGTCACTGGCCTAGATGAGAAAGGGATGCCGACATCATATCCGAGTTTACTATCGTTACTCTTGAAATCTGATGGCTCTTCTCCGCATTATGTCTACAGCCAGTATGTCCAGTTGCTTGGCGTTATGGGGGACTCCAGGGGGTTGTTTGACTTCTGGCCTACTGTTCAAGCGAGACTACAGAGCGATCCCTCCAACTCTTTGGTTCAATCGTTAATATCGCATTTCCTGATGGCCATTCTCAGGGCGGGATTCGGGAAACGAGCAGTAGAGTTTGCAAAGCAACTGTCGACGATTGCTGATCTAAACGATATTTTGTCTCCCTCACTTTGGAAGAAGTTGCTTCAACAGGATGATAGCGGAGCCTTGCAAAACGTTATTTCAAGTGAGAAGATGACCATGCTTTTGCATGAAGAATTGTCATCTATAGAAAGAAGACTTGGTATTACCTGGCATCCAGACGGTGGAGGACATCATGTCAGAGCAGCTGATCTGGATTTATGGGCAGATCACTGGCTGATGGGCGCTGAACAGTCTAGCCGCGATCCTAATCTAAACCTGTCAGGATTGTCGAAGGGCTCAGAGCGGCTCTTTGAAGAAATTCTTTTGCACGGATCTTCCAAGTCGCTGACGGAGCTTTCCATAATCGCTAATCTATTACACGATTTCGAGGGCTCCGAGATTCCAATTGGATCTAAACAGGATGAAGAAGGCAATGTTCACGAGTTTGTCTGGTGTCCTCAGTGCTCCCCTATTAAATTCTCCGGTTGTGCTTCATTTAACGAAACGCACGCACAATCACCCTCATCTTTGGGTCTAATTCGTGCTCTCCACTATCAGTACGGCGAACCGACGATGTTAAATGCCAGGAACTTGTATCTGATGCAATTGGGTTACCTCTGTGAACGGATCCGGGGCCCTGTAGAAGGAAGTGCTCACAGCGACACAGGGGAAACTGAAAGGTGGGTAAACACAGGCCATATTATTTTCTGGGAACGTTCGGAACGGCGCTTCATGATGATATATCTCGAAAAAGGTTTCGGAACGATTGATCCTGGTTTATATCCCCGAGATTCACACCCATACCTTCCTTCCGTCGCGATGATGAACTTGAATCGCGATTGTGATTATGGGACAGAGGTCTCTAAGAATCTTATTACGCCTTTGGAAGGCCGCTATTGGATGGAGGTTGACCCTGCAGTTTATTTCCAACCCTGAACAGGCCTGGGTGATTATATAGTTATTTTCTAGGCCGCGTCTCTCCATCGAACATTATCAGTCTGGTTTCTATTAGAAATTCCGAAGCGAAGACCACCCAGCAGGCTCATGCCTGCGCTTCACCGCTACCGTGATCGCAGTGCTCGTGATATTTTCCACTTAAATACCATCCAGTGGAAGATGCTGGGGGCTAAAAGTGAAAAGCTACTTGCACCTTGTTAGATATCAATATGGAAGTTCCTATCCCACACCCAAATCGCTTCATACATCCTGACGTGCGAGTTAAGGGGGTTGTTGCAAGTGTATGAGGAGAGCGATGTCAAAGAGAAACAGACTGCCGGGTTGAATTCTATCGTCAATTACGTTTCAATTGACCACGAACCAACAACTCCATATGACTATGGACGTGTGACCACCGGAGTTCTGTTATGGAGCTACATGTTATTGCTAGAAAATTGATGATGGGCGAAGTGCATCCTATCTTTGAGCATTTTGTGGGGTGTTTAGTATTGCTAAATCTTTAACTGCATAGCCTTGTTTGTGCTATTACCCTGGCATGTTGTATTTCTATCGTGTTGATACACAAATCTGTGGTTAGCGATTTAATTCGAACTGTAATATAGATTTTTTCTGTGATTCTTGATTTAGAGTTCGTCCTTACACCTGAATTAACGACATTATCTACAATTTTGCGCCTCGTATCCAACAAATGATTACGAGGTTTCTCACTGTTCAAATCTCTAAAAGCTGTGAACTGTAATTTTTTCTGTCAGTTCGTTTCAAGTTTCAAGTTTTAGCCCTTGCTCCTCTTTACCTGAGGTTTTTGAAGTTTTACCAGCGAGTGCGTCAACCTCTGCTTCTATCAAACCACCAACCACAATCCGAAGCATTCCACCCGACTTTCACAGTTGGTAGCATTCAGTTCCTGGGTCCAAAGGCAGGGATGTCCCATTCTGTGGAAGCCTCTCCGCCCCGTTGCAATGACACACCTCCAGCCTCTCACTTGTCCGGTAAAAGTACGAGAGAACTGACATTAAAATGTGGTATGTCAACTCCTGCCTGTCCATAACATAGGTAACTGCTAACCTACCAGGAAACATTCATAGCCCGGAGTCAGATATTAATCATAGCCAAGTGAATCCGGATATAGGGTAGGGCAAGTTGCGCTCTACGACGTACAGTTCTTTTGGGAAATACGACAGCGGCATCGTGACGCGAGATGGAGATGCCAAACACCGAATTTCAGTTCCCGTGTCCGCTAACTTCTGAATCTCGCTGAATGTGATTGTTAACTCTACAAAGCTCAGCGGCTTTCATGATAGCAGATGTTTGGGCAGAAGCAATGCCAGATCTAACGAACCAGCAACCAAGTCCAAACCCCAATCTCTATTCGACATGTTCCCCTGTAGTCGTTGCACACGTCAAGTTTCAGCGTTGAGGCCCCCAAATCAAAGTCGGAGGACCAGCGAATGAAGTCAGGGACTTCACGGATTGCTCTTCCCTTTGTGTTGCCACGATTTGTTCAGACTGTATCGCCACGCTTTGCAAGAGGGTCGGCTTGCTGCGGTGTAACAACCAGAAGTCGATGACTCGATGGTTGATCAAAAGAAAGAAGAAAAGAAAAGAATGACCCTTCAAAAGCAAAGTGCAACCTCGTTTGGCTACATAGTTTAGAAAATGGTTATGATTGACATACCCGCGGATACGTAACGAACTATACTCCGTAGTTAATGGGGTTTTGGTGGAGGCAGACTTCAAGAAAGACACCGAGCAAGCTGTCAAGGTTACGTTTTTGTATCACCAGATGAAACACTCGGCTCATCTGTTTCGCCAGTCAAGGGATTGAAATAAACTTGCACGGAGAGAGACTCTTAACTATAGATGAAATTGGCCTTTTGAAGCCAAAAGAGCGTCTTCCATGCGGAAGGCAACTGACTCGGGCCCTCTGGAGGCTATCGATCGAAACTAACTATCCTGAACTACGAAAACAGGCAGATGGCAGATGGCAGACAGCAGATCATGCAGGCCCACAACAGACCACCGAACGGTTTCCTCCCGTCACTTGAACCAGGGTTCTAACAGCTCACACTCAACATCGACCTTGATTGGGCTTTTGCAGCTGAAGTCAGAGACCCTAGAACGCACCAACCCAGACCCGTAAGGATCACGTCCATGTCCAGAATACATCTCTCAATGCCGCATCTGATGCATTATCTTTTATAGTCACATTGTGTTCCACTTCTCAAGCTAGCTGCCAACTTTCGCTAGAAGATTTTGACTCCGAAAACAAATATGTGCATGCATCAAACCGAGGGCATTCTTCATGGCTTCTCGCCGATAGGGGGGACGAAAAGTGCGTCGTGCATATCTCCAGGAATGCGTCCGTCCCATGCTCCCCTCCTTACAGTAGTTCAGCCAAATGAAAATAATGGCGCAACGGCCCACTGGGTTCGTGGAACAACAACACCCTGTCATCCCTGTTGCCCCGTATTTGTTTTCTTCTTCTTCTTCTTCTTCTTCTTCATTTTGAAGTTTCCTCATGGACGCTCCCTCCAATCTAACCCCAGGAAACGATCAGGGTTTAGCAAATCCCTCAGGCCATATCAATGCGCGGATTTAGCGGCAACGTTGGGTAGGTTTCAATGCCAAATGCACGCACAATCAGGCCACAATCCCTACCCGGGTGCGTGGAGTGACGAGGTCTTCTACGGTGAGCTTCTGTCTGAAAAGAGGGGAGAGAAAAATGGACGAGGCTACGAATCCAGGCTCTAGGTTGAGTCAAACCTTCTCTGTGCATATCTTACACACAGCTAAGACAGAAGAGCCCAGCACAGGTTCCGTTTCTAGCGGAAGCCCAGCCTTCCAACTCGCACGCTCCTGTATGAAGTGAACGGAATGAAGGAAGTCAGGGGCTTCTTAAGTTATCAGGCGTCGTCGTAGAATAGGACTGAATCTTGGTTTCTTATCTATATATATACCCGGCCTTCTCCCAAGGATAGATTCATGACCCGAACCGATATCTTATCCAGTGTAGGTGCTCCTGTACGCTTTAATCATTACTAGCCACTCAATCACAGCAGCCGCAATCCAAATTCGGACACCTGCTTGAAGCGACTGCATCAACGTCATATCATCAACGAGCACATAGAACAAGGTGCAAGATAAAAAAGTGAACACGGATTTATCAGGTGAAATTCAAGGACTGTGACTCGCTTCGTTGTAGTCATCCATATCTGCGACTTGGTTCTAAAGGACGGATCCATCACGGCGCAGAATATCGAGGGGTTAGAATGGATCAAGATAATCCACACAACTCCCCCACCCCAACTACCAACCCCCAAGCAGCACATCGCGATTCAACACCCTCACGCTCCCCACCTCCTTCATATGCAAATTTCCCACATTCTGGGAATTTGCCAACGGATGCGCAGAGTCCGGACCACGCTCCAATAGGTGCGCCTTTGGGAGCTTCCTATTCAACCAACCCTCCGGTAAGGGAGAAGGCGCCATTAGATACGCCATCTTTCACCTCAGAGCCAACACACCTAATGTCGGAAGGTTCAACTGAACACCCACATAGCGCTCCTTTCAAAAACTTGGGAGGAGCTGATTCTGGCGACCTGGAAAGCAAAGGAAAACTTCCAGAAAGTGGCGGAGATGATGATATAGAACGGTGAACCCTGTTACCACCAGCATACCCGCCATAAGAGAGCATCCCCTTCTAATAATAATCAATTCGGAACCAATAGATCCACAGTTCGTCCCAGGACTCCGCCGCCAAATCAAGCACCAGGCACCGTTTCCCATTCTCGCCTATGCCTCTTTGTGCGCCAGCAACCTATAGCAGCTCGTGCCTGTGAACCTGAAGATAGATGGCGGCGACCCATGGATCCGATACCAGTCGTTCAGCTGTTGATGACCGATTTCTCTCCGGAGTCGGTGGAAGACAGGATGCAACTTGCAAGCAAACAGTACATTGTTTCCTGCCACTTATCTCCAATCGCAAAGGAGCACGGGGAAGCTAATGCGAAGCATCATTCCAAGCAAGCTGACCGTGGGGAAATCAACGACACTGACAGCAACTTGTCAGCTGGCAGGACACTAGGCGGCAACTGTCACGCAAGTCCATTTTCTGTCAATGAAGATCCCGATCCAACCAATGCGCCTCCCCACCCTCGATCAGCACCAAATCAAGCAATATACTCGGCTTCTGCCCTTAGAGAAACCTCAGGTCGTTTGCAATCTCCCAACCCACCGGCATCTATGCCTGCGACCTTTTTTGTTTTTACCAACCTTTCCATTGGCAAGGTAGGCCGTTATCGGCTACGGTTTCAGCTCATGGATGTCCATGAAGCTTTGCAATTGGGGTGTTCTCCAATCCTTCACGAAGTTTATTCTCAGCCTTTTCAAGTGTTTCATAAGAGGGACTTTCCCGGTCTGCAGCCAATATCCTTATTGACAGAGAAATTGAGGTCCTTGGGTGTTGTGGGGATTTACAGGTGAGAGACAGTTCGGGGATGACGGCAAGGGATGGACACGGACAGCACGGACAGCGCCAGCGACGATGATATCGAAGACTGGACACCCTGCAGAACTCTCACCACGGGCCTTGTTTTGGATTGATCGTCGGTGAGAATACATCAGGTTTCGAAAACTGAGAATGGACGGATGCAAAGGATTATTGGAGTCAAAATCCCCTGTCATATTTTATTATCTTTGTCGTTTCCTGTGGCGGGAAGATCTTATATATAGGTAAATTGGGATATATTTCAACTAAATTGCTTCTGTTAGTTTGATTGGCAAGCTCCAATATTAAGCCCTAGTGGTTAATGAAAGACAAAATGTACCTGCTAAATCTTATAGAGCATCTCGTTATTCGCCCCAAACCGAAGTGTCAGGGGTAACGTAATAAAATACCCATTCGTTGGTAGATCATTCCGGGACCATGGAGGGAAAGGAAAACTTCATGATAGACCTAGTTGGTCAATCAAACCTTGTAAATTGTTTACTTAAGATCTCTTGCTCAATATTCAATTTGAAAGTCTTGTCCAGATATATGAGCCGCACTTCTTTCGCCCTGGACGCAGAATTTTCGTCCTCCTCTGCAATCTTTAGATACCGCAATCCTTTGTGAGGTTTTTCCTCCTCGCGTAGGAGAGTGGCCATGATGAGGGCAGAGGGGCCCCAACCACCTGTGCTAGCGATTTCAAGCCAATCTATCGCATTCTGGAGAAGTTCCCTATTGGTGTACTTTCTAGCGACAAGGTCCTTGGGGCACACATCTTGCCCTTTCGAAGGCCCGGGGGGTTTATCTCGTCCTTTCCCGTCATAATAAAGCTCCAAATAAAATGACCCAAGCTCATGACATGCCTCAGCATCACAATCCATGGCAGCCTTGGTCATATATTCTTCATATTTGTCTAGGTGACCTTCTTCAGCGACGATCTTGGCGAGGAATTTGAAGGCCGTAGGATGGTCTAATTTAAAGGCACCCATTTCCACGGCCTCCCGAATGCCTTGCTTATCCCCCGTGGTCGCTTTCACGGAGGCATACATCTCCCAAGCTTGGGGGATGCCGAGGACACTGTACAGGTCTTGATCTAGACTGTCTGTTTCCCTCGCAGTCGGCACGGAAATCTCCATTGCCGCTGTGAAAAGAACGAGTGCCTCCTCGGTGCGATTATGCCTCTCGTGTAGAATTTGACCGTAGAGCACCATTGCGTCAACCAGATGCCTCTGAGCGAAATATTCCAGGTAATCAATCAAAACCGTCCTCTTGATGGGGCCAGCAGCGAATTGTCTGTTGACAATGTAGAGGATCGCAAACGGCTCCATGGACTCTGCCAGCCTATACAACCACCATTCCGCTACGGCTCGATAATCGGGATGTTTGGAGAGAATAAATGCAATTCTAGATAGTATAGTTAGATCTGCAAAGTGGTTAGCCAGTGGATTAACGGGGATTTGATCAGGGTACTCGATGTCGGTTCACCTGCTTCTTGATTTAATATATCGTTCCCATGCATTGCACCACGCGTTGCTGCGATTCTTATGAGTTCTGCAGCGACTGACATTGCCAAGTCTAACCTTTCGGGTTCGCCAGTTGGCAGTGCGAATTCAAATAGCGAACGGGGAAGTTTGTTAACCAAAGATTCCGCTTCCTTCATTGTTAACCTGATGGTGCCAGACCCCGGCGGCAAGATGGATTCACACCTGAGTTTCCCCATTGTTTTTTGGGTCGAAGGTGCTCTCATAAGTGTACGAGAAGAGGAAACATGGAATTGTTTGGCGGCAATGGTTGAGAGAGGGGACATGGACCACCAGCGTCGTTGCCGCATACATCGCAAGAAGAACATTATTTCTAGCTAAACTTTGGACACAAGGGCACTCAAGGAGGGGTGTGAAGAGAAAACCTACACTCGCCTGTAGATATTCATAGAAGTGAAATGTCAAAGAAGCAGAAACAGGAGCACAGCCGAGAATAGCTCAGAGGAACGCGCTTCATTCTATGAGGTCGAGACGGAGAACGGACAATTTTTGTTAGTTTTGTTGAGAGAGTTAATCGTGATGCTGAGTAAGCAGATCCTGCCGTTAGTTAACGTAGTCCGACACCTAACCGATCACGACACCTAACCGATCAAATTTTCGTCCCAATCACCCACTCTATTAAATCATTCAATATGACAGCCACACCTAGCAAAGAACCTTCTAATCAAGAAGCCAGGCTCTTATTAGCTATTAAAGATTATGAAACTAAGCAAATTTCATCTATTCGCGTTGCTGCTAAGACGTACGAGCTTCCTTATACTACGCTTTACGATAGACTACGCGGTGGAACCACGTACACGAATGCTCAACTAAAAAATCGAAAGCTGACCTCTACTGAAGAGGAATCTCTAGTTCAATGGATACTCTCTATGGATGAGAGAGGACAGCCTCCCCGGATCGCGACCGTACGAGAAATGGCTAATCTACTACTTGAGGCGCGAGAATCCACTACTACAACTACCGTGGGAGGAAGATGGGTAGAAAGATTTATACAACGGCATTCTGAACTAAAGATGAAGTTCTCACGCAAGTACGACTATCAGCGAGCTCAATGCGAGGATTCAAAGATCATATACGAATGGTTTACCCTGATGGATCGTACAATAAAGAAGTATGGAATTACTTCAGAGGATATCTATAACTTTGATGAGATTGGCTTTACAATGGGGGTTATTTCAACATCCTGGGTGGTTACTAGAGCTGAGAGAGCTGGCAGGCCATCTCTTTTACAGCCAGGGAATAGAGAATGGGCAACTGTGATCGAGGCAGTTAACGCTACGGGCTGGGCTCTACCTCCTATGATTATCTTTAAGGGCAAGCTTCATCAAGCCTCCTGGTACAAGCAGCTGCCAAAGGATTGGACAATTGGCGTTAGTGAGAAGGGATGGACCACGGACGCTCTTAGCCTTGATTGGCTGCGGAAGGTCTTTAACGGAGCTACTAAAGCTTGTACGAAGGGCAGATATAGACTGCTTGTGTTGGATGGGCATGGCAGTCATGCCACGGCCAGATTTGATAAATTCTGTCTGGATCACGGCATTATATCATTATATATGCCTCCACACTCCTCTCATTTATTACAGCCACTAGATGTGAGCTGCTTTTCACCATTAAAGAGAGCGTACGGCAAGAGGGTGGAACAAAGCGTGAGACTAGGAATCAGTTATATTGACAAGGAGGACTTTCTAGCCAGCTATACAACAGCTAGACAGGAGGCTATGAAGGATATAACTATAAAGAACGGATTCAAAGCCACAGGCCTAGTGCCATACAATCCAGATGAGGTTCTTACTCGCCTACATACTCAATTTCATACTCCTACCCCCCCGGGGTCAGCTCACGGATCTCACGGATCTCAATCCTCCTGGACCCCCAAGACCCCTCGCAATGTGACTCAGTTGGAGCGGCAGAGCAGCAGAATCAAACGCTGTACGGAAATTCTCTCTAGTCCTACAAATCAGGCTCTTGATCAACTAGTGAAGGGATGTCATACGGCCATGCATAATGTTGCTTTACTGACCAAGGAAGTCATGGAGCTGAGAGCTGCCAATGCTAAGCAGAAGCGTAAGAGAGAGAAATCACGTTTCTATATAGCTAAGGAAGGAATCCTTACGGCTCAAGAAGCTCTAGCTAGGATGGCTAAGCCTCTGGAGCCTCCTGAACGTACGGAGGTTTGGATGGAGGATCCAAATCCGGAAGGTAGAAAGCGAAGACCTCCCACCTGCAGCAAGTGTAATACACCCGGACACACTATTAGGCAGTGCCAACAGACCTAAGGATCTAATCTATATAATTTCTATATAAAATCTCTCGTGGTTGTTGCTCAATTTAAAAAATTGTCAAATAAGGATGAAAATTTGATCGGTTAGGTGTCGTGATCGGTTAGGTGTCGGACTACGTTAACTATAACTGGTAAATGTCAACCGTACGTAGCTGCGGAGTAGTTCATACAGAGTTAGCGACCAAGATTGGACTGCGCCGGAGTCAACTACGAGGCTGATAGCACTGAGATTGCAGGAAATTGCCGTTGCGTTCGCTGCTGCTGCTGCTGCTCAAGGCAGTAGAACGTTGGCCCTTGCAGCATCAGTTGAGCTTGATTCTGTCCCTTTGGAATCGACAGCTGAACAACATACGGGCTTGATCGACCGATTTCCGGGAAAAACACAACAAAAATAAATAATAAATAAAGTAAAAATGAGATAGAACAACAATAATGAATCCCGTGACCAAAATGATAATGTACAACATACTGCCTCTACACTCATACACATCGAGAGCCGAGTAGAGCAACCCCCAATCATGCAGCCAGCAAGATTCTATTCCACCCGTTTAAACTCCAGGAGATAGATTAGATGATAGCGAAAACAAGTGGAAAGGCTCGCGGATCCATCGAGAGAAAAAAAAAATTCATTCCATGACAACTTTGGCCCCCAAATCCTTCATTGTCTTAACAATCTTCTCAGCCTGTTCCTTGGGCACAGACTCCTTCATCACCTTCGGGGCACTTTCCACGAATTTCTTGCTGTCAACCAAACTCAGGCTCAGCAGCGACTTAATCTCCTTAATGACCTTAGGCTTCGAGGCCGCGTCAAAGGACTCCAGTTTCAAGTTAAATAGCGTTTTCTCCTGGGCGGCTGGGGCGGCGTCCTCCTCTTCCACGGCGGCAGCCGGGGCGGCTCCACCAGCTGCTGTTCCAGCTGCAGCTCCAGCTGCAAATCCGCCAATTGGTAGATCGGGGATGTTAAGACGAGACTAGATAGAATTGGCATTATGGTCAGATATTTTTATTTGAATGTTCCACCTATAAAAAAGGTCCCCAATTCCGCGGGAACTTTAAAACCCAGACGGATGGATACATGCATCGCCATCCACGCAATGCAATGCGTCTACTTCCCACTCCAGAATGGCATCACGGAAATGGGTCTTTAGCGTGGAAAGGGACGCTGTGACTGGATCAATTGAACCAACCTTCAAGGATGAGACCAAATCGGCAGTTTCAAGCAACGTCAATTGACTTATTTGGTCCACGATTTGTGTAATTTTCGGATTCATAGGAGCCTCCTCAGCGGCCTGGGTGGATTGCCATCGTCTTGTTCCAACAGCAGCGGGGGCTATCCGCTTGGATTGAGAGAGGAGGTATGTGTGCGAGGAGAGACGGAGGGACGGGGATTGGCGGAGGACGTTGCAGCAAAATCGCGCTGCGGATTGTGAAGGCAATGACATGGCTGCTGAGGTATAGAGGCTCCAAGTGGCCAGGATCAGGCAGCCGTCAGAGGAAGAAGTATGAAGAACAGAACGGGGAAATTGAGCCGGTTCTTTTTGGTTCTATAAAGCTTGAATTCAGTTCGAACGTTGAAAATTCCAGGCAGTGACGGCACGTGATGTGAATGTATTGTTGCCGTATTGATAACTGTCCGTCATTACATGCTATTTAATTACGACTTCCGATAAAGTTTTTCCGATCCGGCTCCTCTTCGGTTTCAACATTATATAAAGTTAATCTACGATGTTTGTGTGAGCATCATGAACCCAAACGCCGGCCAGCTACGGCGAATGGAAGGGGGAAAGCTACTGTTGCGAAGGGCAGAGGATGAACTGCGCAAAGAAGTCATCTCAATTCCTCCTTGTCTCAGCGTCCGCCTTTAAGTATTTCGTCCAACTACTGCGCGTCGAAACACCGTCATTCAATCTTTAGACCTCTCCAATGCCAGCTATCATCATTGTGCCGCTTTCGCCATGCAAGCGATGGAGTCACGTATGCGCCATGCTCGTTCCTCAAATACTCCAAAGATAATTAAATAATTAAATAATTCACAGGCTTGTGCAGTGCAGATGCTGTGGGGGGGGGGGGGGGGGGGGGTTAAATGGGACAGTCTATTCGCAAAATCACACCGCATGCCAAGGTGAAAGCCATAAGCTTTGAACAGGCTTCCTTTTCTTGTTATTTTATTTATTTTATCTTTGTTATTTGCACAATGTGTTTTCTGATTATTTCTTCAGAGTCATTTTGGTCTCTTTTACGACTTTCACGAATATGACACTCCCATGACTCTTTTGTATTTGTGAAGGAAGAGCATGGACTACTGCGTTTTGGCCTCATTGGTGCTAAAGATGCAAAAGACAACACTGGGCGTTGGACAACTTGTGCCCTTGAACTAGCACTCAGCCGCCCAGAGTTTGGTACAAAATGTATCCTATTCGCGAATGACAAAATAATCACCTTATTTAAGCATCGTGCAGACCGATGTGCTCAATGAAATTAAAGTACATAATATACCGACCCCAATCCAAAACCACCATAGTCACCCTTTTATCCATCCCCTTCTTCCAGAACTAGGAGCGAAGAAAAAAGTGTCAGAAAAAGGAAATCTTCCATTCAAATTAATCTCTAAAATGCAAGAAGTAAAAAGAGAGCCAAGTTTGTCATTGTCACTATACAACCACAAACAACCGTCAACCCCTTTTCAAAAAGTGGCATTCCACTCAACTCACCCCCATCAATCTTCATCCCAATTAGGATTCTGCCCCGGCGGTTTCGGGCCCCCCGCCTGCCTCGCCACAATAATCTGGTCAACCGACAGCACCGTCCGCGCCGCCTCCGTCGCCAACCTAATAGCCCACGCCTTGGAAGCAAGTAGATCCAATATCCCCTCTTCGACCGCATCGATTGTTCCCGTAGCGGAAGACGCCTGCAAATCAACGCCGGTCGTCCAATATGGCTCCTCATCCTCAGACAAGCTGGCGTTTTCGGACTCTTCCTCTTCTTCTACTTCCTCCTCTTCATCTTCATCCTCCTCCTCCTCCACCTCCTCCACCTCCTCACCCACAGCGTGGTTAACGGCCTGTTGTTTCTTGTTACCCCCTGCTGATCGACGCTGCTGATGCGCCGTGTACAGATGCGATAGAACCTCCGTAGCATCCAGCCCGGCAGACTCCGCCAGCGTGCGCGGGATAACTTCAAATGCCTCCGCGTATTTACGGATGGCATACTGCGGGAGACCGGGCGTCTTATCCGCAATGGAAGACACGCGTTCGACGAGCTGGAGCTCCGTGGCACCCGCTCCAGGCACCAGGCGCGGATCCTTAGTCACGGCCTTAATGACATTGACGCCATCGTCGATGGCGCGCTCGACGTCATCGAGGTGGTTCTGCGTCGCGCCGCGCAGGACGATGGTGGCTGTTCGCGTGACGGCGCCTGCATCCTCCTGCCTGAAGACCGTGACGCGATCACCGCCTATCTCGAGTGTTTCGACGACGTCGATGGAGCCCATTTCGTCGGGCATGGGGGCACCGAGGCGGGCGAGGGGCGTGGCGCCGACGACGCGGCAGAGGCGGCGTAGTTCAAATTTGGAGAGGATCTTGATGACGAGGATGTTGAAACGGTTTAGGTAGTGCATTGCTAGCTCGCCGACTGTGGAGCCGGCGACAACAACGCGGATGCCGGAGTCGTAGAGTTCTTTGATGGTGGCTTCGAGGCGGGCTTCTTCGCCCTTGGTGTAGTCTAGCATTTCCTGGGCGTTGTGGAGGAGGACTGTGCCCTTGGTTTCTGTCTGGGATATGTCGATGGGACAGCTGAAGACGCCGACTTTGGCCTTATTGGCCTTTTTAATGGTTCCGTCCGGTTCACGGCCGAACACCATGCCCTTGACGACTCGGGATTGATCTAGGCTGCCGCCCATGATCTTGACGACGCGCACATTGTCGACGTTGAAGTTAGCGGGGTTTTTCGGGAGGACCGTCAGGACGGCCTCTGCGACAAGCGGGGCTAGGATATCTTCTGAGCCGGACTGTTTGCTCCCAATGACAGTTCTAACTGCCTTGCTCAACTCTGATGTAGACCGTAGTTCCTTGAGCCTATCCACCTCGAGGTCTGCATATAACAACACAATCAGCCACACAAGTCGCTATGCCACAACAGATTTATATATATAATGTAATAAACTCACCATCCAAACACTTCAACGCAAGTCCCTGAGCCTTCTCATATCCCAGCACAATATCACTCGTTTTCAACCCCATCCTCAGCAGCTCCTCCGCCTTCTTCAGCAACTCGCCCGTAAGCACAATAACCAAATTCGTCGCGTCGCCCATCTCGGCCTCTTGCTGCTGGCTAGCCATGACAACCAGTTTGGCTGCGGGATGGACAACCTCGAGCTCGCGAAGGATAGTAGCGGCATCCGATGTTAGGGTCAACTTTTGCAGGTGGTTGATGATGATTTTGTTGCGGCCGTTGGGGCCCAGGGATGTCTGTACTGTTTGCGCGATGGAGCGGCATGCTTCGATATTGCGGAGGACGGCGCCGTCTTCGGCGTCATGGCTGTTTTGGGAGGGGGGTGGACAGTTAGCAGGTTGGATATTTCGGTACTTTTTATATTGAGATTTAAATGCTTGATAGGAGGGAGATTTTCCTGTTCGGAGTATAGGAATGATGAGGGAAATGAGAGGAATTAGGAGAAGTTATAGGCAATAGGCAAGCATACAGGAATAAGAGGATACATGCATGGGTTTAGTGAGATATCAACATATCACCATCCAGTATCCAGTGGAGAGATCCTGGCAGGGAGAGAGCAGTGGGCAGCCCTCCAAAGTAGAATTGCATACCTTGTATAGCCCTGTTTGAACAGCCCAGCATTTGGGGCGCTGGGAATTGACAACGACATGGATGGAGGTTGATCTCTTCCTCGTTGGTCAACGGGTGGGAGAGGGAGAGGTGTCTCGTATACACAGAGCAGATATCGAGAACAGATGCTGCTGCTGTGTTGCCGGCTGTGGGTGTTGGAACTTTTTGTCTCCTGAGTCTATTCGTGAAGCTTCCAACGGCGGGTGTTTGCTCTGTTTGCACCTGGTATCGATACGGCAGAATAATACGATGATTACACAGCACTTCGGAAGAGTAATACGGTATCAAATACGCACATAGTTATAGGGGAGGGGATACCGTGTATGGCTTCTGTGATTACTGATTACTGAACAGAATCGCATCGCGAACCCATGAACAGCATATAGGTTCATTTCACTCTATAAAATATAGTACAAGTCCAGTTAGTTGCTCGGTATATCTACCAGAACGAGTTAAATGCCTGTCCAAAGCTACCGGCTACACTCAGAAAAATGTCAGTCAGTCCTCCTGTCCAAAAACCTGGATGAGATTCAGGGGCTACTCTATTCAGGCAACAATGACCTACCGTATCGCCCCGTCACCCCGCAACCGCTATCATCATACGCTAGATCTGCTTCCGGGAGCCTGGAGGAGTAATGTTAGCATATTCATACTCTCCAAAAATAAACAAATACACTGATAAAAGTATAGAGGCCCCTACTTACAGCTCCTGAATAGCCTTCATCCGTGTCCCGCTCTGCATACAGCTCCATTAGTATATATATGTTCCACTAAAGAGAGCTGATACGCAAACTCACCGAAGGATGCGTCGATAATATATGCATAGGCGCTCTCTTTTCGGCTTGCTGCATCCGGCTCCATCTGGAGTGGGAGAAGACCTTGTCAGCATGAGAAATTCCAGCAAGTGAGGTTCAAGGAGAAGAGAGATGTAAGACAACATACAATGCAGCAGCAGCCTCGGGCTTAAAACAGCCCTTCGCCATCATCACTGCCATAACACTCATGATTAGAAGATATGTCTACCACACTGCAAAAATATTCATAGATGGATCGGGACGTACTCAAACCAATCTGATCCGCCTCCAACTATTTTCGTCAATAGTAATATATTAGCAAGGACAACTGGGAACCACAAACATAGAAACTGGCGCCCCTCCCTTTTTCCTTCACAGTGCCAGGAATATCTAGAGGGCAAAAGATAAAAATAGTTGAGAGCGAATAGAACTCACCTCCTGCACCCTAGAGTTGGGCAGAGAAAGAATCAGATTAAAAATAGTCGACATCAAGTTTTCTGACACCTCAAACAGCTTCGATACCACGACCGTCGCAATAACCACAACAATTTTGGAGCTAAGGCGCTCCGCCATATGATGTGCGAGGACATGCGCGATCTCATGGCCCAATATCGCAGCGAGACCATCTCGATCACGACAGATAGGCAGGATACCAGTAAAGACAAATACGTTGCCTCTGCAGTATATACAAGGTGAGCAGATTGGGATGGTGAAAAAAAAGAAAAGAAAAAAGAAAAGAAAAAGAAAAAGGCCAATTATAGGGATATTGAAAAAAAGGGGGGAGATGAACATACCCCGGTAATACAAACGCATTCATCTCCGGCGAATCAATAACATGCACTTTCCAATTCAGCCTCTTCAGCATCTCATCCCCCTTGCCTAGCTGTGGATGGCTCGTCAGAATCAGCTGGCGAAAAACGCTGTCGACATATCTAACCAGCGGATGCGAGTTCGGCAGGAGACGTCCATGGTATTCCTGCACAACCATTTCGTAGGCTTGCTTGCCGTATCGCATTTCGAATTCGTTGGAGATGCAGTTGAAGCGGAGGCGACCGGTCATCTAGATATATAGAAAGAAATATAAAATGAGCACTTTTTTTTTTTTGCTCAAATTTGAAATAGCAATTCTTGATTCGAGATGGTGGAAGAAACCATGAAGGACTGTGTGTGTAGAGTGAGAGAAAGAAAAGAGAGTGTACATATAAAACACACTCACAGGCACAACTTCCAAATTCCACGCGTAAAACACCACTATCACGGATCCCCCGCATATAATCACCAATCTATGCTGCTCCCAGAAGTTCATTAACTGGTAATACATCCACCATCTTCTTCCGCCACCTCCACCTCCACCGCCACCATATCCCTGTCCATATCCTCCCCGCCCATCAAATGTCCGATACGTATATCCACCCTCACCATGTCGTCGCTGTTGCTGTTGACCGTGCCATTGCGAGAACGGTCGACAGTGCTGTTGCTGCAGTGGTCGCTGGAGGTCTGCGTGTGTTTGGAAGCGGAGAAACGTGTCGCTGTTCAAGGGATGATGTGTGCTGCTGCGATAAAAATAGGCTGGAACTGCCGGGCCTGTACGTTGACGATCGAGGCTATGACGGAGAGTGTTCAATGAGCGCTCCCGTGGTGAGGAGAAAGCGTGAGAGCAAACGCACAGCTGTCGGGAATGCGTAGCGGGTATGGGAAGCGGAGCGGGGTTGGAACCAGCGGTGGATATGAGAGCGAGGGCGGGAGTGGCAGGGGACGTTGGAGCGGAGGACAACCACCGGCGCAAACTCCAGGTAGCCAAATTCGCCCGGGTATCACCCACAAACACCTTCTTCAGGTTGCCGGTACATATAGTAGTTCTTACAGAAGGAGATTGGCGGAATAAGGATCGCGAGAGAATCGTAACAGCCCTGCCAGATCCTCCACCACACGACATTGTTCTGGTTTGGCTATTGGTGTCTGGGTAGAGGATAGTTCTCCCTAATTTGCATCCTCACGTGAAAGAGGTTTGCTGGGAGATGGGTACGATATAGCTTTGCCCGCGCGGGTCGCACGTCTGATTTGGGAGCACCTGGAGCTGTTGGGGGAGTTGTTGTCTGGCGTGAGTCGGACTTATTGTAGCTACGGACAGCGGCTGTGTTTTTGCTCCAGGCTAACTAACTATGAATTGCTCTCCTATGTTTGTTACGTCATCAAGACGGTAGAAGTCATCAAAGCTCTTGTTCTTTTTTCTCCAAATCTACTCCAACACGTCAAGTCTGTAATAAATTATATTTTATTTTTTGTTCTCAAGTTGTACCCCGGGGGGATGTCAGATATACCCGAAACCGACCTAACTAGTTTAGAGAGGCAATTCCATGCGGGGAATAAAATAATCAGCAACCGTAGGATCAGCCACTTTGAATACAAAAATCACCCAAAACAGATAAAAAAACAAAAGCAAAAAGAAGGCGGGGAAATCTCAGCAAATATCATGGGGCAGTCAAATGAAACAGTTCTTTGTTCTCTTCTCCTCTTTTTTTGTGGCTGCTCACCAGTAGAAATCCACGCGCACAAAGTGATACATACAAAACATAGCCAAATTGAGAGGATATCCAAATAAAAATATATACAAAGAAGAGTACACCATTCCTCGAAGGAAGCGGGGAGAGAAAAGGAAACAAATACAGAAAACTGACAAGTAGCATCAAATGACATTTGCTTTCCTGCTTGCGCAGGTACAACCTTGGAATATCCATCCGATACCAATAAAATCCATTTCAAAATCCCAGCAAAATGTATGTGTGTATATGTGTATGTATATGAGAGGAAGAGAAATTCAAAGATATCACTCGGAGAAGACAAGGAAGAGGAAAGGCAGGAAGAGGAAAGGCAGGAAGCGGGAGATAAAATAAGCGGAGGGGGTATGATACATATGAAAGAATGAAAGAAAAAAAAGGAAAAAGAAATAGAAAGAAAGAAAAGGGGAAAAATAAAAATAAAATGAAGAAAATATCAAGAAATGAGAATATTTTCTGTGCATGTGTATAAATAGGGGTCATGAGGTGAAGCGCATGGAAACGGGAAAAGGGAAAAGGGGGATTATCCATCTCAACAGCAAAAACATAAACATAAACATCAAATACCAAACGGGCAGGCAACTGGGTTAAAAAATGAGCAAAAACAAGCATAAAAATCAATATCAAATCGATCGATCGATCGATCCGGGGGGAAAAAGAGGAGGGGAAAAAAAAACCCCAAAAGCAAGCAAAAAGTCTATACACCTCCCCCTCCTCTTACTCCTCTGCCACAACCCCCTCCCCAACAATCCCTCCAACACCCCCCTCCCTCTCCCTCCACTCCCTCGACCTCTCCGTCATCCGCCTAACACCCTCAACCCTCTCGGCCCAATGGGCCTCCGATGGCGTGCGGAACGTACACCCCCTCTGCGATGAAATGACACCAATAGCCTGCAGCACCGCCTTGCGCGAATCCCGTCCAAAGACCGCGGGGTGGTTTATCCATTCGAGAGCAGTGTCGAGGTCGGTGTCTAGGGCTGTTAGGAGAGTGGGGTCGATGGTGTGCGGGTGGGGGTGGGAGGGGGTCGGGGTTATGGTGGCGGACGATGAAGGGGGGGACGGGGACGGGGTTGAGGCAGAGGTGGAGGTGGAGGTGGAGGAGTGAGGGGGCGGTGGGGGGATGGAGGAGGCGCGTGGAGATGGAGAGGTTGAAGGGCGCGGGGAGGGCGGGTTCGTGCCCGTGCTGCCGGTGGTTGTGCCAGTGGTGTCTGTCAACGCTTCGGATGTGGCGTTCGCGAAACCACTATTGGTACTGCTATTGTTACCGCTTTGCTTATTAGAACGCTGCGGCAAAGGCGGTAACCCCCCCTTCCCCAAACCCTTAAGAATACTCCTCGTCTCCGTCAGCAGATGCTGCGCCCTCTCCTGCTGCGAGCGGGATACAAGCGTCAGGGCACGCGATAGCATGTCCGATGTCAACAACTCCATGCGCCGCTGCACGATTGACGGGTGTGGTGGGATTGGGGGTGTGGTCGGGCGTCCAGATCCCAATATCGATTTCCGCTGAGAGGTCGGGAGCATAGTAATGGCGAGCAATGAAGGGCGGGGAGAGTGTGTCAAGTGGCCGTCGCGCAAGATATCGCCGTATGTCAGGTCGGCTTGGAGTAGGGGCACTTCTTCGACAGAGATGGTTCGTTGGTCGTCGCTGTCAAGAGGGCCGGAGAGCGCTTCTAGGCCTGAGACGATGGATTCCCAGGGATCTTGCGGGAGGTGTTCTTGGGTTGTTGTGTCAGGGGCTATGACGAGTTGGACGAGGATGTCTAAATTACGGCAGTTAGAGCAGTGCGCTGTGTATTGTGAAAGGATTCCACAGTTTATTTCTCCCTTTCCCCATTTTCCTTTTGGCTTACCTCGTTTATCCCCAAACCTCAAATCCCCTAATGCAGCCTCTGCATCCCTCCCCGCTGCACGCTTAGTCGTATGCAGAGCCCCGCTAATCTTCACAAACTTCGCCGGCGAACCCTCAGGAAGCCGCAGCTTCAACTTCACATTTTGATGAGACGTGCTCTGCAGCAACCCGAGACATCCCGCCACGCACTCACGGAGCATCATCCAGTCCTTGACGTATGTGTACGACGCCTTGGTGCGGGTTGATAGCTCAATCATGGTATCTGGCTTGTGTGTCAGACCCAAGCCGAAAGAGTGGATTCCGACTCTGTGAAATATGTCAGTACAGTACAGTATATCAATGTAGCTATGGGATGTGTTATGTGAGTGTATAGGGGTAAAACAAAATACTAACTTCGCCGCCTCAGCCCTCGAAACCACAAAATCCACACTCTCCCCTTCCCCCATCGACGAATCGCTAATCAACAAAATCGTCGCTATGGGGTTACTCGACCGCCTCTGCATAAGCAAATCCATCGCCACATTAGCCCCCTCAACTACATCCGCACGCAAACTCTTCTGCCCGACCGGTCTAATAGCTCCCAATATAGCCGGCCACCCACCCCACATCTTCGTCGTCATGCCTACGAGCGGTACGCCGCCGCAGCTAGAACCGAAGGTTACAAGACCCATCCGATCGCGTGGGCCGAGATTGGCGACGAGGAAGCGCAGGGTGTCGCGGAGGAGGGATATTTTTAGACCCTGCATGGATAAGGAGACGGGGATGACAACAACAAGGTCGAGGGGGATGTGAAAGGTTGGCGGGATGGTGCTTGTTGTTGAGATGGTGGTGACGTCGCGGATGGAATTTGTGTAGTCTGTTAGGGCGGTATTGTTGGATCTGGTGCCGCCGCCGTAGGAAGAAGTGGTGGAAGAGACGCGCTTGATGGTTTGGTGCGTGCGGTAGTCGTCTTCTTCGGTACCGGAGTTGTCGAGATCGTAGTTGTAGTCTTGGTTGTGAGTACGAGGAAGGGCGAGTGAGCGGTCTGCATCTGGATTGTGCAGGTCTAGGAGGGCGCGTCGCCAAAGCTCAAGTTGATTGCGGGATTGGAATTGGAGGTGGAAGCATGGGAGTTCGGCGACGGAGAGATTTAGGGTTAGGATTGGTTCCTCTGTTAGAGGTTAGTACAATCAATGACAAGCAAGTAATTTAGGGGCAGTTTAAAGGGGAAATTCACCAGGCACAGAATCTACATCTTTCAAATGCTTCTTGATAAGAATTGATCCCTTAAGCGTACACCTCGTCAGCTTCCGCTTCGTCCTGGGATCCTCAAACTGATTCTGCCCATTCTTCTTCTCCTTGACGCAAATAAGCATCTCTGCGAACAGATAGCATTCCAGCTCCTGCCATGATGCACGATCCTTACCAACACGAACCACGCCGTGCAACTTGAGATTTCCAAACCTGTAAATTGGATCAGCGAAGGGGTATTCAGTATATAGAATGGAAAAGAAGAGAAAAAAGAAAGAAAGCAGAGAAGAGAAATCTTTCGCAGTCATCCTCACCTCTGAAAATCCAACCCATGCCAATTCTCAACCCTAACCCTCAACTGCTCCGTAATCTCCTCCAACACCTCCGGCGCCTCATAATGAACCGGCAACCCTCGCGCCCCCTGCTTATTAGCATTCCCACTCCCGCCACCACTCCCCCCACCATTCCCACCAACCTCCTCCTCCCCCCTCCCAACACCAACCCCCATATTCAAATTCCCACCACCATTCCCGTTTCCCTCCTCCCCATACCCACCGAAAACACCACCATAACCCCCCCAATCTGGCCCCGGAACCTCAACCGTAACCAAACATGTTAGTGCCTGCTGCGTCCTCGACCGACAAATAGTCGGAAACTCGCTACGAACCGTCACCGTCGGGGCGGGAATAGGATTCTTCACGCCCACCCCCTGCGTGATGGACAGTGACGTCGTTCCGGGCCGCGGGCTGAGATTCAGCAGGTCCGACTCCATGGCTTGGACGTCATAGTCGTGGCGGCGGCCGGTTGTGTTTTCGACATTATTGTGGCTGCTGTGGTGGTGGTGGTGAATGTTGTTGTAGGAATCTGGCCCCGAGGTGCCGCTATCTGAGCGGGAGTGTGGGTGGCGGGAGGTGGAGGGGGTTCGTAGGCGTTCGATACGCTCGCGTTGGCTGTTTGTGTCGCGGCTGTGGCGGCGGTTATGGTGAATGGCTAGCTGGGGGTTGTGGAGGTTGTCATGGTGGTGGAGGGTGTCGAGGGGCCGGTTGCTGGAGGTCCCGTTAATGTCCCAAGGGGTGGGGGTATTTTGATTACCGCGGTGTGTTGAGGAGTCGCTGACGGACACGGAGCGGACTATGTTGGAGAGTTTTTCTGATGGTTCGTTAGTTATATCTGATCATTGTTTTTTTCTTTGGGGGGGGGGGGGGGGGGGGGGG